GACAAAGAAAATTTTTCTATACTCCAACTTCAAAGTACCGGTGTGAACGTAACCTAAGCATATGTACAAGTCGAATTGAATATTGGTCGGTGGACGATAATGTCTGACTCATACGAGGGGGTAGACCGAACTGTAGGACCGGACTGACTGGTACAGTGTATACTACCAACTGGATATATATATCATGTATTCGACTCGTATGCACCAGCATGCAATAAGCATGGCTAAGTAAAATTTCCGATGTAGTCGCAACGGTAGCAAGGAGAGTACAGTAAAGGATGACAGAGAGCGGCATAAGAGAGAGAGAAGAAGTTAATATAGGCAGTCAGACAGCGGGTCAGCCGAGACTGCGGTTACAGCTAGGTGTAAATAGATATGTACGTACGTCCCGTAAACGGTACGGAGGAAGGAAAGGATACACAGAGATGTGCTGGAGAAATGTTGGAGCCTGTAAACACGTGTTTGCGTTAGCACGTAAGTGACTGGTAATGGACATATATATATATGGTGAGGTGGTTAGAGATGCGAGTTGCACCAGTTTCATTGGGTGCTGGGCTGACTGTGAGGATACTAGGATCCCTGGAGATATCATATGGAGTGCGTTAGAGATAGGTGTATACGTTAAACGTACGTGGAGGATTGTAGTGGCACGATGAGAAGTAGCCAAGAGAGTAAGAAGCACGCTGCAACGCTGGATGAGTTGCTATCGTGTGGGCGTGGGCGATGCAAGAACCTTTTTTTCGAAATTTCGTATTTATAGAAAGTCGATAGTCTGACGTCATTTCAGTTCGTGCCCTTCTGCGGGCATTACACGATTTTACTTCGCAATCCGATCTCTTCTCGTTTTCTTTTGTTGGTATAATTGAAAAAAAAAAAAAGAAAAAAAGACGTTTCAGGGATCCATCGTAATTTTTCAAGCTTCGAACGTCCTGTCGTCCTTCGTGAGACTTAGTTATATTATGTGCGAATAAATTTAGGCTCCAATGCTGTTAGCAGAGATAAAACGCGTAATTATTTGCATTTGCTCGATTTGCGTATGATATCTAAACGACCATAAACGCGATCAGGTTACAGTAAGAGGATCCGTTTATCGAGATTTTATGACGAGTCGTAGAGACTCCATCGTGAGGATTTTTAGTTAGCAGTAATATCGAAGGGTAGTTGGGTAGCGACGTACCAATGTGAAAACTAACGACGACCATGAGAATCGGCGAAGGGGCAACTCGTAAAAATTGAAATACCCGCCGGCCAAAAAAGGCAAACAGCCTGCGCGCCGTTGTCGTCGGCTGCCGTCGTTGGGAAAAGTGTAGTCGCTGCGGGAGATGCGGCGGAGAGACAAAGAGAAATAAAAATATATAAAGCGCAAAAGCCAGGGATCGAGTTAACGGAGTGGAATTGAATCGACGAATAAATATTAAAATAGCAGCGACCAAAGAAGGCAGCAAGGCATATTGCGTCGTCGCATATAGGAAGCTTATATACGCACGTGTGCAACGATATTTTTCTATTTAGCGAAACTCACGACTGCGGAAGAGATTTACACTGGAGCAATACGAATGAGAAATAGGAGTAAAAATACTTGAGGCGCCGATTTCCACCTTTCAATGGGCATGGAGACAATGAATTTACAGTTGGAGCTCGAGCTATCTTGACCGCAGCTTGAAAAAGAAACAGATGCAGAAAATAAGTACCAATGCAATTTCCAAAAATACCATTGGCATTCAGAAGTGCATACAAGGAATCCCCGTAATTGGAAGACTGTCGTGTTTCTTATACAGATAGTTATGGATATACTGATCAACGCCAGATTGCGCCAGTCTACGCTGGTTAATGCAAAAAACATGAGAAATCTACTGTACCGACACTTTCACATACAAAAGATGTCGCCACTACATAATAACAAAATACCGCGAATCAGCTTGTATCGTCCGTCGGTACAGCAGAATTCTACATTGCCGGTTCCATTGACTTTACAATCCTTGTATTTTCAACGAGAGTGCGGCGGGAATTACACATAAAAAAAGACGAGAGACCAATCCCGCGAATCCATTCGAATAATATATCATCCTACGTACGAATACCCCATTGTACTCACTAAAAATTAGGTATAAATATATGAAAAGAATATAGAGTCCATATTTGAATAAAAAAAAATATAAGGATACAGGTAAAGACATAGTTCTTAAATGCGTCATAAGTGCGGGCCACTCCGATTACGATATTCACCGGTCATGAGTCACGACACCGGGCACCAACTCATGATTTCTCTTGACATTTAACATAACGTAAACGTCGTGAAGGTTTTTCGCGTAGATCACGAACCAGGCACGCCTTTCGTTTGTCGGCGTGAATAATTACCAGATCGACAGCGATCGTCGCGCCGCCAAGCGATCGACTCACCGTACCGTTAAGTCGTTCGGTATGCCCAGCGAAGCGTTTGTCGCAGTTTCTGTTTAAAGTTTGCGCGCCTAAAGAAGCTCGCACAATAGAAAATACAAAAGGTATACGTACTTTTGCACGATAATCTCATTATGAATGGTGCTAATTGCCAAGCCGCTTGAATTAATTAATTTTCATGGCTGATACCGCACGAACGATCAGCGTCAAGTTTAGTCTTGATATACAAATTCTACGAGCGATTTTTCATTACTGTTCCACGTGAGCTTATTTACTGTATAAATACACAAGTTGTGCTTATTCACAACATAACTGACGTGACCCTCTTTCTCGGTACTCTCTATGGCGCCAATTAAGGTCTAATCAATCCACCGACTGGCCGATATCCAGGAGGCGTGCAAAACAGACAGCGCCGTGATTTCTCGCTCGTGATGTGAAAAATCAAACAATAGAGAGAGAGAGAGAGAGAGAGAGAGAGAGAGAGAGAAAGAGAGAGAGAGGCAGACAAACAAAACGAAAAAATAAAAGATAAACAGATATATCAAGTGGACAGAAAAGGATACCCAAGAGACGGCTTAGCTCGAGTACCTCCACAATGGATCCTTTGTTGTTTACAAGATCATCGAGTCACGTGACGTACAATCCGACAAAACGTGGCGGCGCTACGATCGAAGCATATCGTCGGTTGATTATTAAATAAAAACAATTATCAATACCACGGCACCGAGTGATAAGTCGAGCAATTATTCCTCCAGCCCTGAACCGATAAGACCGGAATTTTCTTCATACAACACAAAAATTTTCCATCCAAGTCATAAAGCTTGATACGCACGTATGAAGTTGACAGAAAATTTTCTGCAACGACTCGCGACAGTACCTACAGTCCGCCCACGAGCAAAACGTGTGTTCGAGGTGTCATCTTTCCACGAGTCTCAATACAAAAGAGTCCCCTAGACCAATGACACTTTACTCCCCGGTTCGACTGCAGTGCAACTATACGTGCATTCATGTATGAACGACGGCAGTGATGTCAAAGGGGCGTCGAGGGAACCCTTTGAATTAATTATTAACGCCGTGAACGCAGAGGGCTCGACCCTTGCAACCAACAAGCAAAATTCGGCCCTCCGACACGTCTCGTGATTGTCACGAGGCGCTTTGCCGTGTCTGAGCGTTCTCGGGACTAACGAGAGCGATGAAAATAATAAGAGAAAAAAATGCACGAAAAAAAAAATAGTAATAAAATAAAATCCCGGTCAACCAAGCAAGTTTCACTTGTAACAAGTAGCGTATTGCGTAACGTGTCTGATTCATTTTTAATCAGGCCCCGCCCACGATCAACAACTATCATTGAAGTCATCAGTGACAAACGATATCGGTATCGATACACTATTATCAAAATTCTTATCCCAAGCTAATACTGCAAAAACAAAATATTTCTTAACGTCTTCATAATCTAATCGTCCAATAAGATGCCCAAGTATTGGCGCACTGAAATCAGTTCACTCCTGGAACTACGATAGGATCAAAAGGCGAAAACTCTTTTTCACTGGGATAGTTCCACGTAGCCATTACGGGGTTAGAGTTCTCCGACTAGTGGAGATGAGACATTACGATACGAAGGTGGTACCGTTATGCGATTACTATGCTGAGCCGCTCCGGGGAATGTGGGTGGAAAGCAACAGCCTTACCCACCTTCCCCCGCTCCGCCGGCTACTTACTATACCTGCTCGATTCTCTATGGCGACTCCTATACTCCCTGCCACTATTCATCTCACTCTGGATGTTCTCTCTGTGCTTGGCTGTACGGGTACCCGTTCTATATCCCTCTCTCTCTCTCTCCGTCTTGTATAACGCGGGAGCCATTCTCTCACGGCAGACAGCTGATTCCCTCTCGGCTACCGCATCGGCACGAGACTCACGCTCCCACGAGTGAAACGGACACCAGTTTAGTAAATAAAACGCAAAACGCGAAACCTAGTTGGCGCCACTGTCGGAACCACTGCAGCCACGCATATGCATAAGCGCGCAAGCAAACGATCGAGGACGCTCGCACGCACGCTGGCCACTGACAATGAGACAGCCAAAGGGTTATTGTCGTTAAATTAATCTTGGCCTGGCTAATTAATTATCGAGGGTACGTAGACGTAATTAGGGACCGTTATCTTGGCCGCTCTCACGACTTCTAATTTAAATATACTTGGTATGAATTATCCAGGCCGAATGGCAACGTTTACGTGTCTCTTGATGCGCGTAATGGAAGTACCGAGCGTTTATTGTATTAATTACGTCAGTTAGGAGTAACGTGGGAATTATTTAGCAGAGAGAGAAAGTTTTCGTTTATTGACTCTAATAGATATTCGATAATGTTACAGATTTAATAACGTGCCAAGACGTATATCTGTATATACGAGTCAGACTGAAGGGTGTCGAGCGATTCAGTCTTGTAAAGCGTCTGATTAATTCTCGAACCCACGTTTCCATGGCTCTTTGCATGACGGCCATTTAGCCCGGAAATGGGGGTCTCGGCACGTGCTTCCTCAGCACGAGTGGCAGGCAGCGCACTTCCGGCGATTCTTATCGATTAATATAGATCGTTGACTCACCGTATTATGATGAAAACGCAGACTGCCCGAACGACGTAACGTGCCACCGCGTATATTCGCTGCCGCCAATTCCACGTGTCGCCCGTCGCTCCCGCCGCGTCTTGACAGTTCAGACAACTCAGCGACCGGTTGCACCTGCAACGGATAATCACAACCGTGAACGTGATGCACAGAATCAATAACAGTGATACCTTAATACGTAGAAATGTGAGAAAATTATTAAATAAAGTTTTCATTTTAGTCAAGCTCTCGAAATGGCGTCGTGCGTGTTCTATCGCACTTGTCACCTGAGTAACGCTGATTCGCGAAATGGAAGCAAGTTCAGCGCTTCGCATGAAAGCCTAGACACGCGTGTCATCATATCCGCTCGCCTTGAGGCTCGGAGTGTACGATGGGTAGAAAATATTGGAGGTTATACCCATGAAAAAGGATCCCAAGGTATATTTTAATTTTTTGTTCTTCAATAAACTAACGAGATATTGTAATGTAAAGTAATAACGTTATGAATGAAGTGAGAGGAAAATTGAGAATGCTTGATTTTACGATCGCACGAGACTTCGCGTGGAGGTATTGTATACTAGGACCCCTAGCATTGTCAACCGTCGAGGAGGGTCTACGGGTAGGGCTTCGTAAGAAGAACAATTAACTATGGCGGAATGCTCTCATTGTTCGGTGGGAGCAACAATACAGAAGCTTGAACCAGACTGTTCGTGCATACAGAACCTACTAGTAGGTAGACGTTGATAATACTGTACATACGTATATTGTGAAGACATTCTATGTATTCGTTTTGTCGTTTATAAAAAGTATTTTCGTTAAAACATCACATCAGAGTTCAGTAGAGCATTAGCATATTGTATATCAAGACATGTTATATATACTTTGAATTAATTAATAGATCGTTGATACAATTCACTAATTGTGTATACCAAAGAAAATTTTGTAATTAAACTCTCTGCAAGCGACAATACGTTAGAAATAATTATTTATATTGATAAACAGCATTAATTATCACGATCAATATGGTTCCTCTGACGCATTTCCATGACGAAGAGGCTCGTTACGAAACATTAATTTACGGCCGCGAACGAGTATCCGGTTTATTTGTACAGTCGGCAAGAAGTGTCTAAAAAAGATACGGGAGTAACGAAATTCGAATAAACACGATTGAAAGATACGAAAGAACGTTTATTTAAATCGCGGATAGACGTAGCACTTGCAATCTCATGCAAATAGATGTTCGTCGTCTATAAAAAGAAAATTTACGTGAGCAACGAGCATTGCCCTCTTACGAAAAAAACATTCCAACCGAAAAAGTAGAGTCCATAGGTAGAAGAGTAAAAAAATTATCACGTAATTCCGGTCTACACGCAAGTCAATGCTATCCGAGTACAACGACAATAGCTACCAAGCAATTGGCGTGCCCTCCTAAATGAAGTTGACAGCCACGGGTAGTTGAAAAAGATTATATGCCGAGTAGTGCACACTGGAAGCCGAGTAGTAGTTGGTGAGTCTGAGTGGTCAGAGAGGTCACGCCTCGCCTCTACTCACTCGCGCGCACGAGTAACGCGCATTCGATTCACTTTTCCCGGAATGTTTCTGGCAGTCTTCTGTAAGGGTTATTTGTCAACCGTCTACCCTGTCCGACGCACAAATATTTCGTATGAAGCTTCGCCAAGTATTCCATAGTCCCATTTGGCAGTCACCATGAAAATCAGACCGGTGACATTCGAGTACTAAAGGGCTCGAGCATGATCGACAGGCGCGCCATCCTACGGAATCTAAACGAGACGTGAACTACGCGTCAGTTTTCCTTTGTAGCTCGCCCAACGTGCAACGGACAGTCGAATTAAAGATAAGAGAAAACCGCTCCTACCTCTAGCTGAATATAAAAGGGATAGAAGGTAAAAGACAGAAGATTTAAACATAAGCAGTGACATCTATCGGCAGATAATTCACCTCACGTGCTCAGGCCCGAGCATGGGGACTTTCTTGAAAACAGCCACGTCGCCCATTGAACGTACCAGCATCCTGCTTCCTGTAAGGACGTAAGAGATAGGGTCCGGTGTATCCCCTTATCAGGAGTTACGTAGGCAGTTGCAGTACGTGGATAGAGCAGCATTATGCGTTTGAATGCATCATAATAATATGGCTGGAATAAAAGGTGTGCACTACTTAAATTATATTAACAGACAAGCGAACAATCGACACTTTGCGTGATGCTAGTATGTCAGTGTTGTTTATTCCAGCACGATGTACCGGGTGACCCCGTTTTTCCTCGAGCATATCAGAAAACAGGTTGCGCAACCGCAGCCGGAAAAATGCAACCGACAGATAAAGGAGTCGGAAGCGTCGTGGGGAACGCTCGTAGGCGCGGAATGTCACGTATACGTATATACAGAGTGATTACGTATTCAGGGAATCCGTGTATACAAGGTGACCCGTTTAAAGAGAGTCCTTGCCCCCACCGTGTGCCAACAAACGGTACATAAAAGACGAGCCAATGAACGTACTCCTCGGGCTACAACCACGTGTTTCATTGACAGGAACTCCTGGCTGCTTCTAGCGAGGAAAACCGTGTATCGACTGCGTCAAGTGATACTCGCTCTAAGTGTAAAAACACATCAGCTTGATCAAAGCAGATCACCGTTTAGTTTTCGTTATTCGATCGTTAATCCTGAGGCTGCGCTTTAGAAAACTTAGATAGTGAATTTTCATGTAGAGCATTGCAAGGGGTGAGAATATCCGTAGTGGTTGGTCGTGGCGATATTTATTTTGTGCGCCATTCTGATAGCGCTAAGCGACTTTTAAGTGTGTTTCTGAGTAGCGCGTCCACAGGGAGAGGAGAAGGAGAGAGAATCGTGAGAGAGTGCTGGGACCACTTCTTCGTAAGACACTATTTATATGTGTCAGTCTCAAGTAGATATAGTTTTATATAGGCTATGAGTCAGACGAGCTATTATTGGTCCACGGCAGTGAACTAAAATGCTCTCATTTGTGAAACACCATTTTGCACGTCACCCACAGCTGTTTTTTCGGCTTTCTTTATTCAGCCTATAATAATTATTAATAAGTAGACTTTCACCGTCTAATCATGGCACAGCATCTTCCTTCGTAGAAGTCCAATGTAACGTGGTAATGATATGGGCATAGTGACGTAAAGGGTTAAAAAAAATAAACTATGCTTCAAAGGCGGACGTCATAACGTGTACACAGCGTCTGTGTATATTGTATATACACTAGCTTCATATACCCAGTTACCGTTGGAACTGATGCTGGAAAACCGTGGAATTTCCAAAAAATGAAATCAAACGCTATTACTGGTACACTTTCTCACGCATCAAGCTCAGCCTGCAGTTTCTGGTCTAGCGCTTATTCTCGGACGATCACGATCCCAGTCGATCTCGCGTGATCTCATGTGAATCGCGTAATGCAACGCGTCATCGCCTAAGAAGATTCTCTGACTCGAAACACACGTGTTCGTGGCGCAGAGACTTTTTTCTTGCCGGGAAGGCGCCGAGCAAGGCGTATTAACAATTAGCAAAGAAAGTGGCGCCACGTCAGGAGACCCTGCGATAATTCACATAGGAAAGTCTTAAGTATAGGCTTGGTACGAGGAGTGTGGATATTCGGAATAACGGGTAAGGCTTTACTTTGAAAATAATCCAAAGACTCGTGACGGAAATCAAGACGATCCTGACCCGATTAACATGCACGAATTGTAGCGATTCGCAAATCGCGGTTAGATCGTGAATGGCGACTGTCAGGAATTTGCACGCGATCCAGGCTAAACAATTTGAGAATGCCAGAGGCGATAAAAAGTATGGCTATACGTAACCTTCCATTGTATGCTAAATTTTGCCTGGCTTTGACGTTACGTATGCACGCGTGCGTAAGTGCGTCGGTCGACGAGAAAGAGTGTAAAGGTTGTGTAAATCGACTCAAAGAGAAAACCGGTACAGGTTGATTTTTCAAAGATGAAAAAAAAAAAGAAACTCGATAGACTTTTCCAAGCATCTCACATGAAGAAATTTTTTAAAATCCATATTAACTAAATCCCATATCGCGTATGCTTATCAAACGTCGTATAAGTATATTTGATATCGTTGAAGCTATGACTAACTAGGCTCGATACGCTGATAACAGCTATTATCGATACCCTTGAGAAAAAGTCATAAAGCCAATTAAAAAAACGCATTGCATGAATATTTAACGAGCAGAACCGTGATGCGCTTGTCTCATTCAAGAAAATGATAAGCCGAATAAGCTGAAGACAATGGATTGACTAGAAGTTCAATGCTAGGTATAAGAAAGAGTAAATAAAGTGCGGCAAAAAAGTATGTACAGTAAATGCCTACAATGTAGGTGAAAGAAACTAGGGATAAAGATACTGTACACAATTGTGCCACTGCGCCAGCAAGATATTAATCGAAGCATAATAGGCGTGACAGATAGAGAAAGAAAAGAGCCTGACAATGAAGCAATGTAGAGTTAATGTTTCCTAGTTCCCTGAGTACTGCGAACCCTTCATTGTTCCCTGCTGCTAGGAACACGGAACGGGAGGAACGATACTTGGTCCAATTGCTTCTTGCCTCCATTGTTCCTTACGTTCGTGCGATACTAGAATAATGTAAAGAGAAAAAAGGAAAGGAAAAAAAAAATAAAGGTATCAGCATCTCCACGAATAGGGTAGCAGAAAATATAGGTATACAACAAACCCCTTCGTGAAACTTAAGGCTCAACGAACTCGGGCGACTCCTCAAAAATCGTTTATTCTGGCGCCTATCCAAGAATTCGCTTAACGCTTGAGTCGTCGGCGCTTTACTCGGTCTACTACTTTAGGTGATACTGATTTTTGTCTTTCTGTTCTGTTCTGTCTGCGATCTTCAAAGAGGAAATCAGGAAGCATCGTTACTTCGCGTTCACCATTCTCATTCGGGGGCACGTAAAAACGGTGTACGTTGAAATTCTATTTTATGGCCGTCCGGCTGGTACCGATTTGCAAGAGAGGATTGAGGTTAACGTTAAGAAGTTACGGATGGCAATTGTTGTTATAAAATTATCGAAAACGTAACCAGTATCCTTTTACTTATTTACACGATACCGGAGCATATACCTGTACTCGCGTCATGCAAGCTGTATATACGTTACATGCGTTCAGACAGGTTTTTAAGTTTACATAATAATCAGGAATACACGAAGAAACTGATATACGCAGGTTGTCAGATCGTTTGCACCAACTGTGTCATTTCAAATTGACAGATTGCCAGTTGTGGAAGTTATATATATATACAGATAGATAGCTGTTTCAATGTGCAATTGGTAGCAGTGGTGTTAAGACCTTGATAACATTATTCTTATATGCTCCTAAAGATAGTTATCCACGTGTCATCTATGCTACGTTACACAGGAGTTTATTAAAACAGCTGGCTACAAGCCAGTCTAGTCAGGAAGCTAATTTACACGGTACGTCAATGGCCGCTGCTTTCTATTCGAATCTATCCTCTTGGATATGCGAAGGTCTACACACTCCGTGGCTTTGGTTAGTTCAGGATGATTCTTCAGAAAGAAAGGGATGCAACGCAGTGCAGGTATAGCCATCAGAAATGTTCCGTATATGATTGCGGCACGTGCAGGGCCGTCTACCTGAAATATTTCAAAGTGCCCCGTGCCAAGAGTAATGCGGTTGCGGTGGAGCCGAATAAAGAAGCTGAGAAGCCCATGATCAATTTACTTCTTTTTTATTGCGTATACTGGATATGCTGGTCTTGTAAGATTCCACAGTTACTGCAAGCTTCCTCTGAGACATTTCCTGCTTGGTTTTCTCATAAGGATAACGTTATACGGATGTCTCCTATCGAAACATGGTTAGCCACTGTACCGCTATGGTCAGCTGCTTTCCTCTGACGATAACGCGATGCGTGTTATAAAAGATAGGAATAAGTGGGTTTCCGTGATGACAATGCGATTAGCCTTGTCTAGGTCTCGACCAATATTTGACAATAGTCGATAGTTCCATGATAAGACAGATTAGAGAAGATGATGATTATTTCCCGTAACGATACTCTCTTTAACGATACATCATATTGGGGACCTTGTAGATAATAAAAAAAAAAATTAATTTACAAAAGCGTCACACCATAATGTTTGTACGTACCTTGACAGTAACATAATTTGCAGAACCCTTGATGAGATCAATGATTTCTTCGCGCGATTTGTCATCCACATTGATCCCGTTGACCTCGATGAGCCTATCACCAGGTAAGAGACCGGTATCATTATTATTTTGCACCATGGCACCGGGTTCCGCGAAGATGACGGGCCTCATCTGCGTGACACCGTTTGCGCCACGTTCCACGATCACAGCACGTCGAAGGGAAAATCCAAAGTCATTTCTAGGTGGTGGTTGTCTTTGTATAGTTAACTCCCGTGGGTCTGGTAGCTTGAGAGGCACTATCTCAGGCAGTACCAATTCCACACCCTGATCCTCGAAGGAAGCAGATGATCTCCACCGGGAGAAACCCTGAGACTCGCCGACGGGCGAAAGGCTAAAGGGTGGTGTGGCAAAGCTCGAATTCGTTGTATCCGTCAAGGAATCAGCAGATGGACTGGCACTCGTTACCACTTGGAGGAGCTTATTGTCCTGATGATGCAGATGCTGCGGACTCCTTCTGTAGGATTCCTCTTCGCTACAAGGCTCATCTTTACCAACGGACAAGGATGAGAGATTCGGAACATTCTGATAAGCTATCACCTCATTCTGCAAAGTGTTCCTGACGAGGACGTTTGCATCTTGATGATTCTCATTGCCATTTTGCACTACTCCAGGTTCCACGGTAATGCTGGTGATGCTGAGTCGTGGACCTTTCAGAATTCCACGTTTTGGCGGTTTTGGTGGCAATGGTGGTAACGTCTTTCCTGATGCGTTTGTTAACGAGGTCAGGGAGGCTTCTGATGAGTCGCTCTGGGTCAATCCGTCAGGGGTACGAGTCCAGCTCGTACTAGCAGAATTGTGAACGTTATCCAAGAGATCCCTGTCTAACTGGGCGAAAAAGGATGCACTGTAATCCGCAGTGATACCACTTGGAAGCTTCTCCTTTTCCTTGCGACGACCCCGGATCTTCAATGATCTCCTTACCTGTTGATTTGGACAAAGGGAAAGAGAAAATATTATTATTTACAAGATTAAAAAAAGTCTGATGATGCTTAAACGTGGTTAGAAACAGACGAAGGTACTTTAGACTCTTGTTCCTCAGGAGAGGGCGTTGCAGGACGGTGTTGTAACGATCGCTAGGAAACTTTTCTAAAGCAGTGCTGCTAGCTGGAGCCGAGCAAAGTCGATATTGCATAGAAAACATTAACAAGTGGTTTATTTACTGTTTACCATCTTCTACGTACAAGGCACGAGAGCCTTTAACACGTTTACATACGAATATGAGATAACATCTCTGGTAAGTTCAATGAAAGAGAAGCGTAAAAGTTTTATAGCGATAAACTGTCAAAACTATTAATATACTGAATAACACTGCATCAAAACTTTTACTAAGAATATACCGATAATCATACGATAAATATGATCAAAGTTCAATGACAAATTATGTAAATACCAACACGGATATTTGTCAGTGTCAAACAAAAGTTACGACATTCCACAACAAAGGCTGAACGATATCCTGTACTATGTATGTATATGAGAGAAATTCCGGCACTGTCATCTCTGTATGTACGAAGTGAAGGACATGAGCAAAAACTATTCCGTTTCCCTCTTGGTATTTTCTACGCTCGAATGAACTGGCACTAGGTACACTCGGGCGGATCAATGCGAGAAAAACCAGGCGCAGCGTCAAGGTTTCAGAATCGGTAAATGCGAGTTACAGAGTTTGATTGGCTGGGCGTGTTTACAGTGGGTGGACATACGAAAAGGTTGATAGAACAAGAAGGAAGGCAAGGTAGCAGGACGATCAGCCACGCATTCAACAAGCTAGGTGCGCTACGCCGAGTGTGGGTGTAGGATGAAGAACCTTGTAGGGATGAAGAAGGTCCGTTAAAAAGTAAACGAACCTCGTCGAGACGCAGTAACTCCTCGGCAGACATGCTACCACGATCTCGTTTCTTGACATCTTTCCGTTCCTTCTTCTCTCGCTTCCGCTTCTCCTTGTCGTCCTTCTCGGCAACCTTCTTTATGAAATTAAACATCTTGCCAGGAAACCAGCCTTAGTCTTTTTCCTCCAAATGTCACGTTCCCCTCCTGTTTTACTGTCTAGGTACCTAATGCCACCAGTAGCAGTTGGTACCGTAGTGTCTTTGTATCGTATAATGTATATCTAAACACAAGGGTGTTCAATGGAGTATCCAGACTGTTAGTTCACCAGAATACGATTCTCGACACATAGCGTCGAGTCTTAACCTCGAGCCACGGGAGAATTCTTGACGGGATAGGCACCGGTGCTGGTGTATACGTTAAGGGTCTTACAGATGAGTAGGGTAGGTAGGTAGGTAGGTACCTGCCTGCCTACTTTCCTTCGAGTTTTCCCGCAAATCGATGCGCCGGATTTGTTATATCGTCTAGAAGAAACTAGACATGGAGAATGAAGGGCGGAGAAGAAGGTCCTGCGACAGTAATGCGTCCTGTTCTTCCAGTAACATTTAAGAAGGTGTGTCTTGTCTCCCTGGGGAGTCGTTGGTACACCTTCACCTAGAGAATGTCTAGGCCGTGTATTCATGAGAATCCCAAGCGTTATTCATTGGATTCGTTGTAACAGCCTTGTGTAATTTCTAGAACGGTTTTTCTAACACTAGAGAAACTTGTTTAGCACGTCTCCTTTTGAATTAACTTCCTCTTGATCTACGACATTTATTGGAATTTCATAATATTTCTTTTTCCATCAAATCTTATATTACGGTTCAAGGAGCTTCTAACACTGCGAACACCTTCGCGCCGGGTTTTCACTCCGAAACTGACAGCTAGCACGGCACGATACGTCACAACACTGCCACTGCACCGCCATTCACACGAGATTGCCGCGTGTTTCACAAGGAACTGATTATTACGTGGACCTACTTGATAATTCCGTCACGTTTCACTATGTCGTTTCTAACGCCAGTCTATGAAACTTCACTGGCTACCGGTTAAATGGGCGATCGCGCTACGCACGCACGCGACATCGAAAAATACTAACGGCGTGCTACTCTCGTATGGCAATGACAGACTGTCATGGCAGCCTGCGCGCTTAGCGCTGCGCTCCGCATTCTCGGCGATAGTCGGATGCACTGAGAGCATGCGCATTGTACATTGAAAAAGTGACATCTGTTGGTAGCTATATAGTACTCTCTCTGTTAGTTATGGTAACTGCTGCGAGATGCCGACAGTAGGAAAAGACCAAACCTTTTTAACTTTTGATACAGATCCTAATAATTTTTGCTCTTGAAAACATAAAGTTCTAAGGAGCAACATAATATGGATTAGATAAAATTTTCGAAAAAAGAGTGATCACATAGTACTTAAATTAGATTCGTGCTCATAGATGGAGCCACGATGAAGGAGAATAAAGTTATTGACATATATACCATATTAGTGAGTATAAAAGACAGAGGTGCAATAGTTTCTCTAACTTCGTTTAAAAACGAAAAGCCTAATCTTTCAAATTGACAAGTTAACTAAATACTTAATCTTTGGTTCGTTTGCATAATATTACGTGAGCTCTGTAATCTGGTATTGTTTCTCATATATCATAACGAAACGATATCAAAACGTTATCAGAATTTTAGGAAGAAAGTTGATATTTTCATCCTTCGAGATTAAGCAATTGAATCATCATCCGCTATCAATTTCACATTATCAATGCAAAAATAATAATACGTACCAATGGTTACACATATCAGGGTCAGAGGAAAAGTACACAATAATGTAAAATTATGCATATGGCGATGCCTATTTAAATAATAAACTTTATTTATCGAAAATCTGCCGAGCTGACAGTTACTTGATTATTCCTTTTCTTTTTAAAGGAAATTCCTCCATAGAGACTCGATACAAGAATGAGGGTAGTTAGGAAGCATTACAGATCAACATATACAAATTTAAACACGTACAGCGTTGCATAGTTATTATGCAATTCATATATATATCTTTTCTTCCTAGAGCAACGCCCCTTAATACAGTCCCAAAATTATATATTTCTAACGAAACCATCAGGAAAAAAAAGTCGCGAAAAATAATTAACGAACTCAAATCCATCCTTGGGATAAATACTCCAGAGGTCCTGTACCGACGTCCTTGGAAGTTTGAATCAGTCTCATCTTATGCTTGAACTTTGTAGACCCTCGTGCACACAATATCGTCCACCTTCATGACCTGAAAATTTAATATTTTTTGAGTCACACATACGGATATATTCACCGGCACGAAATACGATGTGTGCCAAGTAGCGGTGACCTTTGTTCAATTACGGAAATTATGGTAACGTATAATTGACCAGGGCACGCAAAGGTCACCAATCAATTGTTCCACGAGGGAACGCGAAGAACTCACGATTTTCAAATACATCTCAAAGCATTGTACAATTCTTAAATATGAACTTATACGTAGATTACAAAATTCGAATTGTTACTCACAGCCTTTACTTCCGTGGGAGTAAACTCTCTCTCGATAATAGTTTCCTTGTCGCCTTTCTGAATCTGCGTCATTTTGTTACCATCCAAAGTGATAACGCTCTTCACTTTACGACCATCCGGAGTCTCCTCGTCGAACTCCTCGCCAAGTTTGAATTTGATCTCAGAGTTCTTGAAGGTGCTGCTCGTCTTGAGTGTATAAACATCGTCGCTCTCGGTCAATTCAATAACGGGATTAACACTGGCACCCATTTTTCTTGTGACCAACCCAACACCTGTAAAATCAACGAAACTCATGACAAAATATGCACAGTCAACATACGTCTGCGCACATTATAAATGCATACCCAAGAAAAGGTTTACCCAGTAAATAGCGGACTAATACTTATTTTCACTATGTTTTCAAGGTAGAATAAAATGTGGAAAAATTCAAAAAGCATATTTCTCATACTTTAGAAAAGCCCACGAAATTTTAAACTCACCCAGAGCCTTCATGTACTCGTCAAATTTCTCGGTACTATACAGCTTGTATTTTTTTCCGATAAATGCCATATTTCTAATATATATATTCTTTATCAATACTATTAGGAACAATGAAAAATGAGTATTCGTCAAGAACTGCAATGACAGTCACCAAAGTAAGAGACTGACTGTTACATTCTCGTCGTCACTTATTTATACCCTTTCTAATCGGTATCGAAGAATATTTTTATCCGTATCGTCAGGGGGGAAGCAAGAAACTTTACTCGACAGCTGCCGTCACTGCTGTTACATCGAAACAAATACTTTGGAGTTTGACCCGTTCCGCGATAGAAGAAAACAGTATCAATTCGTATAATTATACCCATACACATCACACTGCGTGGACTCTTATCGGTTATTAGTAAACTTGATTCTATCAGCGTTACGACCGTGCATAATTTACCTGGGAAATCAACAAGTGCATTAGGTTTGAATTAAAAAATTATAATTTATGTGCATTCTATTTAGCACGTCAATTATTTCACACGTTTTGATAATCAGTGTCATCGGAGTCAATGACAATAACGTGTCAATTATTCAGTTTCACTCGAATCCGAGAACTGATTTGAAATTAATATCTGTCAATTGTGATAAGACCTTTAGGGTACAATCTAAGGGACGATACAGTCGCAAAGAATTTGCTTGGCCGATAAGCATTCTTGGTACAGAACGAGTCGCTTTTCCCTCTCGATGTGCAATGTGGAGGCGCTTACAAGGACTCATGTGTGTGAATACCAGTGTAACCTGACCGTGAAGTCTAGAGTTCACATTTCATAACCGGTTACTGGTTGACCAAGGACATATAGTCTGAAGATAGGGTTAAAAATATTTTAAAAAATTTTGCGGGTAGAACGGACCAGTTGGATATACAGTTTTATTAATAGCAATAAACGAAGAATCGTCTTACCCATGTAAAACGATAATTTAGAGAATATCATACTTTTTTATATTATGCAAAAAATATCGAGCCACTATCTTGTCTTTTGCCAAATTTAATTCTCCGGTATTATTGATAACGATCGATTCGTATTTTCGTTACGTTAAGAATTAAATGACAAATGATTTTTTGTAGCCTATTACTAAACATCAAATCAGTGAGATCAGGTTAGGTATTATCGTTCAATGTGATAAATCTTCGTGGAATTAAAATTTGTTAACAATTTTTATATGGAACAGGGGTACGTGTTCTTTTTTCAGGGATTTTAATGAATCATCCTCGAAACATCAGAATATAAATATGAGTGTCTTTCAAAGGAATTGATAACGAATAAATTTACAGCTGGGTTAAAAAGGACTTAAGGTTCGTCAAATTAAAGGTTGGCATCAACGGATCAAAGGTATTTGCAGACGTTGCTTCGTAGGGTGTTCAATCATTTTGGTGATCAGTCATTCTTTAAGAAATTTATCCCAGCCTAAGAGACCAAGGTATTATCCAAAATCTTTGTTAAGAATATTAAAGCACAGGTACCTACAGTGTATCGAATTTCTAGAAACTGTTAAAGTTGAGAAATGTAAGAGAAAGACATAATGAGATAGAAATGACAATTATAGTTGAAGGAAATATCAATTTTCTACTCATGATAGTTTTGAGAAGGATATTAGACCCAGAGTCGTGTATGCATCAGAGAGTCGATTCAGTCTGTGATTATTATTTATTAGTCTCGATTGAAGAATGAATTCCGGGACTAAATTGGGCCTCAATTGGACTGTCTGCGGCATGGCGGTCCGCCATCGTCGATGCATTGGTATGGGCTAGGACAGTGAATGGATTAGAATTGATTCAATTGTTCGCAATTTCAATACAGCCTCCTTCAGGCTCGTGGTGAATTCATTAACAACGCTTATCCTGCAAGGGGTATCCCGCGGGACAAAGAAGATAAAGTTCAAAGAATAACGACAGACAAATTACTCAATAATTAATTAACCATTCAATTACTAAATGAGCCATGAACTTTGGATTCGCATTATATATAATACTTGCAGCTCCGCATAACTATGCGTCATGTTAATTTTAGGTGCGTGTAAAAATAAGGTATTTGGCCTGAAGGTAATTTTCTAAAATAAAATCTGAACTTTGAACACTCCACAAAAATGATTTTAGCTATTTCGATAGCGTCAACGTAAAATAACAATAGACCATAGTTTACTCAGCATTAATTCAAAATATCGTTCTCAGCCATTTACATACTGTGCCAAAAGTAGAATAGTTGAATCGATCAATGATAATATTAAAATTTACGTTAAAAGAGATTAGAAATAATTACAAGTGATTAATCTTTATTTATTGGGCTAATCTATCCGATTTTAGATTTATCGATGAATCAGATAACGTGATAAGCAGAAATTATCAAAGCGCTTCACAGTCTATTGGTACCCGTAAATTCAAGTGATATTAAAAGTGTGATTAAATCACAAAGCTTGCAGAAAAGAAGCTTTATCTTATTATCCTGTTATACCAAGTGAAAGTTACTGTACAGTAAATATTGACACTAGCCAAGTAGATTGAATAGAACGCAATTCGTTCGCTCTCACGAAATATGAATAAATGTCAATAAGAAAAATAAGAAACAGCCATGTCAAATAAACAGAATGCAAAATCTACAGACTACAAGTTCGTAGTTTAGTACAGAATATAATACGAATCCCTTATTAATCTGTCCTTGATCAATACTAATAATACATAAAAAAGCAAAGTAGCAGTGTATTCCACTGATTTTTAATATATTTAAAGAAACCTCAATACGTACCAAGAGACTTCATGAGTTCATCGAAATTCTCACTGCTGGCGAGCTTGTATTTCTTTCCAAGAAATTCACTAGCCATTGTTGAAGATTCGACTGGACGAAAGATTCACAAGGAATAGAGGAAGAGCTAAGTTGCTTGCTTGTCTCGTGCCGGCCGGCGACTGAGCCAATAATTCGGTGTAAACTCCGTAATACCGCGTAGCGTCGCGGCGTCCAGACTCGCTTCGCATGGGGGAATAGATTCAGCTGGGGATATTTCGTTGCACGCTTCCAGTCAGTCAACCCCTCGCTCTCTTTATATTTAAACTGGGATCGCTTCATCTCTTTTTCTCAGTCTAACACAAACTGGCCAACTTCAGGCAGTTGCCCTCACTACTGGGCTACATCACACCTCTCTGCACGCTCACGACATTGCTTGTATGTATAAGCAAATGGAGATAAACTCAAACTATTGTCTTCCTTTCCTCGTTCCACCGTACATACGCAAAGTACATCGAACCATACTCACCAGGCGTCTTCCTATTGGTGCAGGATAACGCGCGCGTACGTAGCCACCTATTGGATGTAACCACACTAAACTCTCTTCGAATGCCGTACGTTTTTAGCACTGTACATAATGGAATGGCAACGTATAATTGTAAGGAATTGTACAGTTGTTTGACTTAATAGTGTACGTATTTATAGTAAATTTCTGTAATTATTACTCAGTGTTAAAGTTGCATTTAGTAGGTAACTGAAACATTTTTAAAGAGCCACCTTATTATGACTCCACATGGGCTACACAGAACGAGATCTGCTTAGCTATCTGCTTTGAATCAGCATTTTTGACAAGCTTTTAAAGAACTGTAATATGGGAAGCAAGAGCTTATAATGGCATCAAGTATCCAAATACGATACTGTAACAGTAAGAAAGAGTAAGTAGGATATACATAATATAATCGTTTCCGTAAGGTAACAGGCATGGATTAATGTGTCATTAACCTTGACAATAGAAAGGAAATCGTCTGCTGGATAATGATTACGATATAAAGGTGATTGAACATATAAAGATGCTATTAGGATGTACAATATAATTTATGTTATAATCAAATGCAGTGTATATACAATCTTTCTTGTTCCAACTAATAAAGATTAATTTATTTTTCCTTCAGTTCCTTGTCTTCTCTCATTGCTCCCTCTGGGAGAGCAGTTACGTTCTGATGGAACCCGTCAAATTAAATGATCCTTAGTTAGTGTTCAGGGAATGCGGGTTTATTTTCCGGTGTAGAAAGACGAGGCACGGATAAGGGCGACGCCTTCTTTCGTCTCAAACGATTGGTACTGGACTGTCATGGCTGCCGTCTCTGGGATCAATAAAAGGAGAGGATCATACGATGGGCTCACGCCACCGACATGGCACACGCGTATTAAAACTCCACTGACTCTCTTGCGCTTCTCAAATAGTCATACGCCATTCTGCGTTACTGCGCTCCTTTAATTCGTTTTGCTAGTCACGAAGTGCAGACCAGTCACGTAGTTCTCGAGGAGCAGTAGTTTGCTGAGGAAGTTGTGGGCTGATAATACAAGTACTGAAGATTATTAAGTCACGCCTGTTTGAATTTACTTGCGGCAAAGAACATATTTACTTAAGAAAATGTATCTTCAGAAATAATTCCAATATGAAAAAATGTTAATGATTTTAGATGTTATTGATTATAGATGGGCCAGGACGTGCAAATGTATTACGTCTCTTATTGCTTAAAATAAAAAAGAAAATAATTTTGAAATATGACGATTATCCGCTGATGGTAAAGAAGAATTCGATTAATTTATTAATACCGACTGCTGGAAATGATTTAAAAGTTATTTTCAACTTTTATAATTCACTGCTATGCAATGTATATCATGCCGTTTCCGCTGAGTACGTCGATAAAGAGTAGTTTATTCAATAAATCGAATGGTTAAATACGCTTTATTAGAGAGGATTTTATACGGTTCTCCAAAAAAAGACGTTCGATATCGCCTGTGATTGATTATACTAGGCAATCAAGTAATAATTCAAGGTGTAATAGCATATATCGTAGTTCAAGAACCAGCAATTACAATCCGCTTTACGATAAGAGTAAACTTTAGTTTCTTTAATTTACTTATATTTCAATTACTAGTATATACTAGTCAGGTATATCGATAGCTATCAAAAATAGAAAGTCTAAACTTTACGAATAAAAATATCTCAGTCTATTCGTACCATCCTAATTCCACTCGGTAAATAAATATTAAACTTGTCTTTAAACACAACATTTTTCGTTCGTCCCAAATATTCTCTAATTTCTATATTAACCCCTTAGCCTACAATATCGTGTGAGAGATGGTACATCTTAGGTTATTAAATTTTTGTAAATTTTATCAAGACGTTAATAATTTAAAATATGTGCTTATTTAGAAATTGAAATAAAAATGTTATTGATTTATTATTCACTTCAAGATAATAAATCTTTCTTTTTCAATGATCAATCGGTCATAATTATTTATCAAATATCTTGCAAAATAAAATTAGCCGTAACTTACACATATTTAAATATCAAAAAACGTGTGCGATTTGCGCAACTTCGAACGCTCAGTCAAACCGTTAAATGGTTCGACGTGTGACCGAAATTGTTATGGTTTATGGCACGCGCCATCGGAACTTAAATCGTAAGGTAAAGAGTTAATTATAATTAGGACATGAAAAGTCACACGTAGAATATACATTCCATATAAAATTCAAGTAGCACATAAGTTAATATTACTAATACGAATCGAACGTGTTCCTATCATCGTGTATGTACAGCTTGGAAGTCGATAGCCAGACGTTCCGGCGATGTAGGAACGAGAAGGGGATTGGCAATGGCGCCGCGTGGATTCCGCAGCCGCAGCCGCAACCGCAGCTATGGCGCAACGTTCACTCGACGGGAAGCGAGAGAACGACAGAAACGGTTTCTCCGCAGCAGTAACGGCCAAACCGCGCTTGGAACCCGTTCCGCGTCGTAGTAGTAACAGCCGCCGACATCAACGAAATAACAGCATAAAACCAGCCAGAAACGCGTCTCTCGTTACGGCTGCCAATATTCACTCTCATGCCTATGCGGAGGCCGATGACGCCGGGATCGAGGAGAGGAAGACCCGGTTTAACGCGATGTTCGACACCGAAAGATTCATTGTTGAGATCGAGAAGCGGCCGGCCATTTACAACGTCAATTGCGACGAGTACAACGACCGCAACGCCAAAATGAACGCGTGGGATGAAGTTTGTCAGGTGATGGTACCTAATTGGGAGAACCTTACGGATGAAGAGAGAAATGTTGAAGGTAATACATATGCATTAATTATTTATTCATATTTATATATTTTATGAACGATCTATCTTTTATTGCTTCAACGGCTTGATCTTGGTCCTCGAGGTGTTTTGCTTGCCACCCTGGAATCCGGAGCGTTTCGTATCGAACTGCAGACGATCGTCTCGCGATTCTTGCTTACGGTGCTGACCTCTGCTTGCGCGGGAACTCACGAACACATCGATTTTCGCTTTGTACACGTCGGCACTGTCGACACTCCTCTCCTTTATACCATCGGATATGGTAGGATGGATTGTGAATGCAATTGTAGTTAGTGCGTTATGATTTTCTTTGGAGAAAAAAGGCAGCTTTTAGTGATAATTCAGATTAATCATTTATAATGGGGGGTGTATGACCTTGGCCTCTTAAATTATTTGAAGGGGTACAAAATCTCAATGTGTTGTAAGAGAGTTATAGGATACTAGAAATGTAAGAATTACAATTGTTTTGCTGATTTAAATTTCCTTTAAGAATGTGTATCTCAAAAAAATGTTGCTTCATTGATTAAGTTCTGATATAAATATTCGATGCTTCATATAGTATTTGATGTTTCTTTTTACAGAGAAAAATCTACGTGGAAAGTGGAGAAACATCAGGGACTATTTTATGAAGGAACTGAAACTTCAGCGTTCAAAAAAGCCAGGACCCGCTGGTCGGAAACGGAAAAAATATATGTATTTTGATCAGTTATTATTTCTAATGCCCACGGTGGAAACGAAACGGTATTGATTCATAATATATTATTGATGTATCATAGTTGACAAAAATTTTTTTACCTGATGATTTCATTTTTTTAGAAACAGTGCAGGATATATAAGCCACTTCAAATCTGAAGAAAGTGATGGCGAAATGGACAATCCCGTGATAGAAGAATATGATATACCACTAACACATGCTGGCACCTCAAGGGATTATTTACATACTGGAACTGCCTTCAAAACGCGAACGCGTTATCCAAAACAATTGTGCGAGGCATCATTAACGTCGTTCGATACGGAAATTCAGGATATGTTATCCTCGCACAGTAGTCAACGTATAGTCGACGAGGAGGACTATGACAAAATGTTTTTGTTATCACTGTTACCAATTTTAAGGCAAATACCAGATGAAAAAAAATTAGACGTCAGGATACAAATGCAACAAGTGCTGGCTGCAGCACTTCATTTGCCAAATAGCAATTAGGTAATCTAATACAGATTTATTGGAAGTGCAAGAATTTTCCTGGGACGCTTGTGCAAAATTGTAATAAAAGTTTGACATTAATATACTAGGAATAGTATTCTGTGCGGAGATACTCAATCATTGTACGATAATGTTCAGCAAATTTCTTTAACACTAGATTTACGGAACCCGTTACTTTGATGGATTTCAAATTTCATGTTAAACCCTTAAATTCCACACTGGGTAAACTGTAAACTCGCATCGGCTAGTGTGGAATTTAAAGGTGCGTGACAGAGGTGTGCAATTCAAAAATTAAAGTTACAGAAATTATAAGTATTATTTTTTAGAAATTTTTGTTGACGTTGATAATCAACGTCCGTAAATCTAGTGTTAAGTATTACTATGTTGACTTTGTCGTAGGAACTAAAACAAAGTTAAATTTATTTTGTATTGTTAGAAGACTCTGAGCTATAAAATGTAAGATGTTAATCAAGACATATTTCATCTTGTATTCGATGAATTTCTGAAAGATGTCTTGCTACGTTAACTTATAATACTCGAAATAATTGGAACTTCAACGAGAGCTTGCTTCTGATTTTATTTAAATATGATTTCGTTAGATTGGTTAGTTTCATGACTCCTGTACCTGTATCAGAAAGAGAGTTCTCTAAATACATTAATATAAGCAATGATATTTATTACCTAAATTGTAATGCGGACAATAATTATGTACCCAAATTGAGATGCACAACAGATCATTTCTACTTCTAAAAAATTGTTAAATGAATATACTATATACGTATGTGCATCTATACTTGATACACAACGGATACTGTTTTTAACATTCTAATAATTGCATTTCTTTTGCCCTCTTTTCCTCACATATTAATGATATATTATCCAACACGATATATAAAGGATGTTCCGAAATTATCAGACCTACGGGGTACAGCAGTATTAGGAAGGCATCCAAGATCACGAAAATGACTGTTTTTATTTGGAAGTTCTTAGTTTCCAATTGAAAGCAGATCGAAGTTGATCAATTGGAACGAGATAGCAGCAGAGGTGGTAGGCATCTAAAAACTCTGAGCTTGCTTCCCTTGCATTTGTTTCTCGATGGCATCGACAAGGTTGCATATGCTACAGACAGATCATGCGAATATGCATTGTTTCACGGTCAGAGCGCCAAGCGTATTTGTTAGCAGATTGTCGATACCGACGGAACGCCTTAGCTTCGTTCGCGTTCGCTCAATCTGTAACAATATGTGTCTATAATTAAAATAGCATTCCAATGCGTTTTAGTCAGCCTGAACGACTTGCTCAAAACAATTGCGAATCGCGGTTTCCTCGTGAGACCTTCGCGCAGCAGAAGCTAAGACGTTCCGCCAGTATCGGTTAATCTGTTAACAAATGCGCTTAGGGCTCGGACCGTGAAACAAATAATATTTGGATGATCCGTCTACATCAAATACAGCATCGCCGATGCCGCCAAGAAACAAAAGTAAGTACAAGAAAACTAAGAGTTTGTAGGTGCCTATCGTGTCTGTCGGTGTCTCGTTCTGATTAGTCAACTTTGACCTGCTCCCATTTGAAAACTAATCACTTCACTCTATAAATTTCTCAATTCAATCAATCACTGTATATATTTCTCAAGTCAGATTTAATTCGGAATCAAAAGGCAACTTAAGAATATAGTAAAAGAAAATTTCAGTAACTTTAATTGTAACGATTCGTAACGAGATCGAGCGTGCGCCTGTTGAACCGCAAATTCAATACACAACATTAAAAAGGGATGCCACTGATCATAAGTTTCTTGGTATTTCAACTCCATTACAACATTCTGCTTATTTTGAACCGGCATAAGGTATACGAGTATTAATAACCAAATCCATCGGTCGAACAGATGCATAATAAAAAAAACTTGTCAATAAATAATCGACAAGGAAATTGTAAAATGTTACCAGCTAACATTTGATCCATCGTGAAATCATCTCACGTAACGCAACGTCGACTTTCGAAAATTTCTTACATAATTCAACAAATATTTTCATTTCCGATTATGGCCAACGAACGCACCTTGCGATTTCAGCCGTTATCTATTATACCAGAGGCATAAAATAGTTTAACCGAAAAAGTGAAACTGTATCCGGCGATTCACAGGCGTACCAATCCCGAAACATGAACAGTATAGTACCCATATACACATATATAGAGTCGATGGTACCTATCGCAATGAAGTTCCATAAGATCGGCATTCGCCATAAGTTTATCTCAGAACGATACGATGACTATAGATCTATTCGTATAGATTCATACAAGAGAAAGTGAGAATCAGGAACCGACGGCAGAGCCAAGAAACGTAATGTAAATTAATGTGAGCGGCCTCGTGCTCGGCGAAATGTCAGGGCTGCGACCGATCCTTTATGGTTCGTTTACACTTGTGGATCCGCTACCGATCGAGCCACCGACGGCCTACGTGTCTTTGAAAAGGTCCTCGCGACGAAGAACAAAAATGGAACAGTCCACGAAACGGGATAGATGCTCGTACAGTCAATGAAAAAAAAAAATTAAAATTAAAATATACCGACACCAGGAAACATGGAATACAACAAGAGTCAATAATAATCTATGATTAATAGAAATAGTTATATCGATATTAATATCTTCTATAGTTACTCTAGTGCAAACTTTCCCGAGATACTATTTATAGAAATCTTTTCTCCCGTGAATATAGCTTCAGGACATGGTATATAAGATATTTCCGAAAACTTTATTTTTTATTATTTCCTCTAATGTGGTAAAAGTAATAACATTCTAAGGCGAACTTTAAGGATGCTCAACTGTATGAGCAATGATAAGTATATATATATGTATACTTAATACGTTCACCCCAGTCTCTTATATAGAGAAGCACGCGAGTGGAGAGATGACCTAATGCAGAATTCCGCCATAGCTCGCGGCCGCCAACTACTTCTCACGGCTTTACTTGTTCGTCAACCTTTCGCCATTTTCATTTTAATAGCACGACGCCGCCTCGTGTACGATCTTCTCCGTAGAATCACGTGCACGTAGCTTACATCCGTGCGTGGCCGCTTCGGTGGCCCAGGGCACTAGAGCTGCATTATCTTCGGGTATAAAAATTTGCATAATTTTACATGATACTCCGTTGAAATCGCGAGGGATCCATTACGCATCATCTTCTTCGTATACATAATACAGTAGACTCCCGTATGACGCGAGTTCTTACGATGCAAATTTCTATAAAGGGCCGAAAATATTGCGACTACCGTATTCACGTAACGCGTATCTACGTACACTGCGACAAATAACAAAAGACAGGAATTACCTGATTTAATAATTAAAACCATACGGCACGATTTCCTACCGCGTTATCCGGGAGTCTACTACGCGTGCTAAAGACATATATACATATATACATACTAAACATCAAAGGCATCGTTGTATCTAACTTATATTTCATCTTTCACTTCTTTTTGTCTCTTTTCAATCTTTTCCAAACTTACCGATACTCGGCCAACCGGCTACACCCGTAACCAATATTACTCTCCCAAGAGACAGATCGGTTGCCAATAGGCTTGTTTTGCGAAATGATTCCGTCACGTTGATACCGATCGTAGGCGTGTGCAGAATGTGGGTAAAAAAAAAGACGAATTATCGTTTTGCTCTTTATACTAAAATTCACTTGATGAAATAATGACAGACAGCTTGTCAGTTATTATGATTGGCAAGAGATAATATTTCAAGGAATAAAGATCATTGTCTTTATTTCACATTGATACATAGATACAAAGTAATACCGGTAAGAATTTAATTGCGAATAACTCGTGAAATATTTCAAGGACTTTGTTGTCGCGCAGGAATTTCTTTTTTGGTCCAGCCTTTTTTTCTCATATGTCACTCATAGTAACGTCTGTCTATACGGGGTGTCCCACGACTTATTCCCCAACGGGCACTGGCATATTCTCCTTTGAAAATAGAACAAAATGCAATTCGTCCGAATGAAATCGGTTGCAGCGTTCTCGAGAAAATAAATATTAAAAATTTAGAAATATCATCATGTCTCATGTTCGATAATTCATAGTCTAATGATAATATTACAGTTTCTACTTGAGTTAATGTGTTCACAGAACCAAACGCCCGCCACTTTCCTTTTCTACTACCATTGTTTTCTTTTTTTTTGGCGATGATTGGAACTTACTTAAAATGATGATATTTCGAAATTTTTAATATTTATTTTCTCGAGAACGCTGCAACCGATTTCATTCGGACGAATTGCATTTTGTTCTATTTTCAAAGGAGAATATGCCAGTGCCCGTTGGGGAATAAGTCGTGGGACATCCTGTATACGCGTATCCTACGCACAGTGACGGACGCGAATAGACAACGTTTGAATTTGACTTTCACTGTTTCACGATTAAGACCAATAAACATCGACGCTCTTAGTTCACCGGGAAATAGTTAATTCGTTAGTTCACTCTGCCAAGAATCATTTTACGAAACGATCAAGAAATCGGAATGAGTCTTTAATTGAGATTCTACTGGCCAAGAAGTCCATACGTGGAATAACCAATTGGCTATGGCAAAGTCCTGTATAATTTGACAGTCGATAGGTCACGACCAAAGCCTGCACAGTTTCGACCTACCGGGTGAATCTGACTGTACCAGTTTACTCCTGATAATAATTAACGTTTATTAACAGCGAAATAAAAGCGAGGAATTAGCATTTAAATTAATACAGTTATATGCATGTGTCATCGCTCAAAAGAATTTAGCCCGAAAGCGAATAAGAATAATGGAATCTCTGTGTAACCAGGACTCATCCCATTTCTCATAAATACATTAGCGCCTACGTATACCTAACTTACATGTAACGACATTAATAGTACGTTTTAGCGTTACATCACCTTACGACTTTCTACAACCTTTTTCGCAGCGTGCAGCCGTCACGAAAACTTCCTCGACATTAAATCACGAGAAAGGAATCCCTCTGACGTGAAAACGTTTTTTGTCATCTGCGATTCGTCTACCGAGTAAATCATCTCTGGGTCCGTCGATAAGGGGTAATCTGTAAATTCGGCATATAACGGCTAATTATTAGGAGACAGTCAAAGGAAGGACTGTCTCTGATATTTTTCTTGACTTTCAGAGCACGGATCTGGTAAATGACACGTGCCGTTATGGTAGGTCTTAATTATGACGTAACTTCAAATTTACATACGTAGTTACATATGGTCACATTTAAAGAAATACACACTATGGTAATGTAAATATGTAGATGTTATTGCCTTATATTTTACTCTACGTACACGTACGGTATATATACAGTTGATCGTTGTTTCGTATTACCAGTTTTATTTTGCCCCTGTATATTCTCTTCCGTTTCTACTGAATTATTCGTTGAATGGAACTCGGAAAAAATCCTCTTTTGATTGTCAATCTCTTTTGTTTTAGTTCGGGAGCGGAAAAATTCTTTTGCTTTTCTAGAAGAGGCGAGAGCTTGAGGCTTTAGTTGATTTTTATGATATTTTAAAGTCGAAGTAATAAAGGTCAAAGCAAATTTCGTATTCTCAACTGGAAATCGAATTATCACTGGTATACAATGCGATTCCGCAAAACTGGCCTGCGATACTTAGCGCATCTGGTTAGCATTCACGTTTTGTGGCAGGGAAGCCGCCTTGTATATCTACTGGGGTACGTATAAACTGCCTTTGTGAATAGCCACGTATACCGGGTGTCATATAGGTATACGATACACGTGTACAACCTTATAACATTAAGATATATCTATCGCGTTATTCATAGGCCGTAAAAAAAGATCGGCTTCTTGAATTCCATAATGGGTCTTTTTTTATGCTGTTGGTACTTTTTCGTAGCGACACTAACGATAAGATCGTTACGATCTTGCGGTAAAGATGACAAAATTGCTTTCGAGCGTCCGCGCACGCATTACAGTTTTTTAAGGTTAGGTTTACGTGGGACAAAAATGATGAAACATTTTATATCGCTCGATATACGAATGTCGTACGTTCGGATGATTTTTTTTTCTTACACACCGTATATAAGTTGGTTCTATAGAAACCGTACCGCGAATTATCTCACTTGTATCTGCTACGTTAATTACTATGCGATGATAACTCGTTATCAGTATCCATATGAGGTTTAAGGTGTACCCAAGGAGTGGTGTGTATTTTTGTTTTGTGATTAAAATGGATCAGTTTGCTCGGAGTAAATAGAAATTGGTTAACACTTCTTTTGGCTGTCTATAAAACTACTGGACATTGATTAGAAAAAATTAAACATAATTCTACATATTGATAACAATGTTCATGGTAAAATTGTCATCGGAAAATATTTAATTTCGAATAGAACGGAATCTGCAGTTTAGCTCTCTTGCAGAAGACCAAGATGGCAGCCGTGGCCAGGGACGTCAGATTTTACGATAGTCAAGATATTATTACTGGATTCGCGAGAGAAGTCAAGTGGGCATCGTACGAAGGAAGTCGAAGCGTAAGTAGAGTTATCTGCACGAAAAAAAAAACTCATGAAAAGTATTAAGGGGTACCAAGAACCCCACTTTTGAAAATATTAGTTTTACCTTTACGCAGACTGTGGAACGACCGCGGTCCGTGACCTTAGTACGAAGGTCGAAAAGCAGGATGTTCCCGTTCCACGGTCTAAGAATCGTGGAGTTTAATATCCCTAGAACTTCCCTATGAGTAAAAGTACCTGGAAGTATCGAAATAAAAGATAGGCTAAAAAATAAAAATATTCTTTTATCCAAAACCTAAACCTTTTCTAGCTACATTCAGCCCTGTGCAATCGCAACCTGAAAGAGTCCTCCCTACTCGTTTTCTACGTATCTAAAAATGACGTGAACCCCTTCCACATACTTTTAAGACACCCTCTATAGAAAGTATAGCCAGGTTAAGCGAAGGTACCTCTCACGCTATAGGTATAGTAGCGTAGGTGGGGAGATAGTAGTCTGCCAGGGTTCTGCAGTGTAGCCATGGCACAGCCAGGTTATAGTGGAGGAGAGTACACGTTCAAACGACGTCGTCCTCTACGAGAATAATTCGTTTGGAGCATCTACCTACCTACCAACCTACCTACCTACCTACCTACCTACCTACCTGCTTGCATTGCTGCTTGCTTCGCTGAGCTGGCTGGCTGCCATCCTCGCAGGTAACAGAAGAAGACGAAGAAGTGGTGGCTGCTGTGGTGGTGGTGGTAGCAAGACGAAATACGTCCGGCGATAGTGTCCGTGATATCGGTAGTACGTAGTAGTGGTTGGTAGTAGTAGTAGAAGGAGGTGGTGAAGGTAGCGAAGAAGGTAAAGAAGGAGGCAAAGAAGAAGTTGGGAGGTGGGAGAGTTGCTCGCTCCTCTCGAAAGGCAAGGCGTCGAATTCAGGACAGAATCCGTCGCGGTGGAGTCTCGCTTCGAAACCGTATACTGTCGATCGCGAACCGATCGGGACGTACGTAAGGTGTGGCGTGAGCTCAGCCGATTCCTCATCTTGTAGACGGTGTGAACTTTTGTGTTCTTCATATTTCAACCGACATGAACCTCCTTCTATTGGATCTTACTAGGAGCGTGCATCGTACGGGTTCAGTTTGCCTTTGAGTTTTCGCATTGGATTTACTTGCTACCCGGCAGTGAATAACGACTGGTGTTGGTTGGTCAGGATATGGAGAACTGTTTTTTAAATTTTAAGATATTTTTCAGTGCAGTTCAATATACATTTTTATTTTACATTTTAATATTCGAAAGTCACTCTACGTGCCACGATTTTAGGTGAGTTCATGCTTCGGTCCAAGGGCGAATCTTTTGTGACTTTTATTACGATTATTTTGACTTTTTGGGGTTTACCTTATCAATGGATCAGTGAAGTAAGAGAGTGCTTCTTTCTATAGGATTGTGTGGAATTTCATGATAATTTGTGAAAGAATTTTTTCTATCTTTATTACACTTTAGTATGTTTTCAAAATGCTTGGCTTTGCTTTTAGAGAAAATTATGTCAACAGTGTATTCGTCTTTGTGAAAATATTTCGTATTGATTCTGATATATGATCGCATTGTGAAAGCACCTTAATACCGATTTGACTTGACCGTATATAAGAGTGCAAAGTGTCTAGTTGCATCCGATAGTTGTCAAACAAGTAACGGCACTGTACAGATTCATTCAAAAATCCATGTCACTCTACGCAGAGTGACTAACCTCGTATACCGTACGGAGGTAGATAAACTCATCCGATGATCCTGTTCGCCAAGTGGAAATATAAGATGGTCCAGTGGCATGAATAAATCATCGGTGGAAAACATTAGTATGCGATACGGTGCACGTGTCACTGTTGACTAATGCTTTATTGCACTTTCGTGAACGCACGTATAAATCTGCACTTTGATCAGTCATATCCTCGTGATGGCTTCCAGAAAAATAAAAAGTTTCAATGATTGGGAAAAGTTTATAATTTTTTCTTTATAATTTCAGTAAGTTATGGCCTTGCGCTTAAGGGGTAACAAAGATGTCAAAAAAAGCTCTTATTATGTCTGGTACTTGGGCGCAAGGGAAGCCAAAGGGGTGGATGCCATGCCTGGTGCCATAGCTTACCTCCTGGAACGAGAACGACTTCAGGAACCTTTCAAGGTCACATTACAGGTGAGTGGAACCCACATGAAGATCCGGTTTTATATCGGCGGCGAAAATAACCAGAAAATAAAAAAGCTCAAATTCGTAACACGTAGATAGTTGGGTATCAGTGTCTTCTGCTGAATGCGTGACTTCGTTACAGAACCTAGACCATTCGGATAGACAGTAAAGCATAGACTTTATGGGATGTTCGCGAGGCGAAGGAAGAACCAAGAAGTCATTGGTGAAAATATTGCCGATGACGAAAGTAGCCAATGTCAAAAAAGTAAAATCGACCCGAATGCCGCTAGAAACGAGCACGCGAGTAGAATAATAAATTTATTTTTGAATAAAGTCGGTCGATGCTCTCTTCACGCTCGATTCGTCTCACGGCACGTTATTCCGCGTCGCGGACACTCGCGAGTCCTCGCGGAATTTCATAATTGAAATTTCGCAAAAGCTCGCGAAATTTAACGCAAAAATTCGTCGTTATGCTAATTCCCATTAAGCACTTGACTCAGACGGATTCGAGTAATCGAAAAGTTGCATTCCAGTCGAATTGATAAAAGTTCCTAGAAGTCTGTCAGAAACAAATTTCACAATCGTAATGAAAATTAAGCGACAAATCATTTTCGATGCGACTGTACGAGGATCGCGTTATATCGTGTGTCAATGCGTGTGGAGTGAATCGAAAATTTTCAGGATTTTTCGAAAAAATCATTGATAGTATTTTCAGATTTTTATAATCGATCTAATCGCGAACCTTGAAATTACAGGTGACCGATTTGTTTAATGTGCACAAGATAAATTTCCAATATCCTCGTATTTTATTTTCCTCTTCTTTTCTCTCCCACGAGCATAGTTGCTGAACGTTACGTTACGCGAGCGTGCCGATAAGTTGCAGGATAAATAGTCAGCAACGTGATTTTACTTGGTTCGTTGATTCCCCCGTAACTATATCGTAATGTATAGCAAAGTGGCGTATTAGAGGCACGACAGTATATACGTGCACAAGTGCCTATTCGAATAATCAGAGACAGCAGCAGGGAGAAATATTGCCAGTGGAAATTGAAAATTGCGGAACCGAGCAAAGTCGAATCCATGAAGTTCCCAGTCGGCTGTTAGGAAAAAGTTACAAAATCATGAAACACATTGAATTGTGTAATTTCAAATCGGCCCGGGTAGGCATTGCGGGAAAGTTTCCGATGTCTCCAGGCAAGATCTGTCATAACGGTTGACAGCTCGTGTACCTACCATGAGAACATTTAGACAGCCGAATGACAACAGTGTGAAAGTGAAGAATCGCAGAAGCGATAATTATGAGAATTCAGTAAGATCCAACAATGAAAACCATACCCGTGTGTTTGAATGATTTTTTGAAAAATTTTCTTAATGTTTCGAAAATGCCAGGCCGACTGCGACATTCGAAATTCTTGAAAAATGACAGTCATAGTAATCATGATGACAACGGTCACTGGATTCAAGGTTTTGACGCTTGCGGTGTTATGTACAGTGTTACTTCACTTTTGAGAATATATTAAGAGACCCGGATTCGTGCATACGCGTCTCTACATATAACGAAGGATCAGCAGGAAATCACTTGAAAATATTGACAATGTAAAATCATTGTACAGGCGTAGAAAAAAATATTGAAATACGCGTGACTAATGAAAATTTTTATTACGGACTGTACTATAAAAATTCACTTAAACACACTGAAAGCTGAATCGTTAATCGTGAAGAATTTAAATAATCAACACCTGGTTATATGTTTACTTTATAGAATGTCATGTGAATATTACGAGAGATGCTTAAAATACGATAAAAGAAGGATTTCTCGAAATCTTACAATCGGGCAAATTTATCGTAAAGAAATTATCGGAGAAAGCATCCCATTTGCATGACTGTCATTGATTTATTTGACAGGTCAGCAGTAAAGGCTTGAAAATCATCCAGACTGTTCATCCTGGAGGCTCGATGAGGTCAGCGGTCAAACATCTGGTCCCGGGTCATGCAGTATTGGCTGCCGTACAAAGAGAAGATATCGTAGCAGCGACGTTACTCTTACCGAACCCAGCGACAAATAATCCGGTACACGTACACGCGTACAGGTAATTTCAAAAGAAATAATTGAAAGAGTATACTTCGTATGCACTGGATATACCGTGTGGTATTCTTTGTTAACCGTCTTAATAAAACCAATCAGCTGGACTTTCTAAGTAAATCCGCAAAGAACTGACTTTCTCGCAACGGACTAAATCTAAGAGACGATTATTAATTATTTGCAAATAATATTTAATTATTCGTCAGATGCGATTCCGTGGAGACTGCCGAATTATTGGGGGGTCAGTTAAAGGCTCTGGCGTCACATTCAGAGAATCTCGCCAGAGTCTCTTCCGTGGAAAATCGTATTCGCAGCAATTTGGGAAGCGACGGTCGTAGCACGAGAGAATCGGAGTCCTCCGAAGGAAGCGGAGAGCTGCGACATGGTCCAGCTCAAAATACGACAATTTACGAATCATTGGCAGCTGAATTGCGAGCAAAGTTGGGTTAGTCGATCTATGCTAACTTTGTAGAAGCGTCTAATATTTTTTTTAATTTTACATTTTTTTTTAAATTTAATTATCACTTTCAGGCAGAGGAAATTCAGGCGATGGGGATGGACCAATTCTGTTGCCACCACGTGACTATGACACTGTTCACAGACACCGTGGAAATTTGGCTGGCATTGAATTTCGTCGATGTCTCAATCAAAGTATTGTAGGTGGTAACACTGCGATCGACAGAGGTGGTACAAGAAGTGCAGCTAGCAGTGGTATAGGATCTGATAGCGCGGCAACACCACCACCTTATCAACCTCATCATCCGCTAGGACCCAGGCCATCTCGACCATCCAGAGATTCATCATCAGGTTAGTACATTTTTTTTTCCCTCCAACTAATCAAGCCGCACGGTCATAAATACGTCTGAATGAAGTTTCGACCTGGTTGTAAACGAACCGTGAGACAAGTTCAACTGTACACGTGGTATAGGACAAGAGTAATTAACGAACGTCCAATCGATACCCATAAAGAACAAGGTAAAGAAAAACAAAATAAAATCCCGCTCACTTTCTACTCCAGAAACAAGTACGCCAGTCAATCACAAGCCAGCCAGGTAAAAACTAGAAGTCTTATCACTCGAAGCAGTTGAAACAAACGCGTGTTCCAGTGACCTAAATCAGACACATCAAACAAGCTAATTCATTGCCAATGAGTTCATAGAAAAAATATAAGAAAATTGAAAAAAATCCGTAAACGACAAGCAACGAATAATTTATAAAAATTTTTATTACGAATTCATCCCTCCTAGTATCATGGTTAACCTAAAATTTTTTTCATTCCATTGATCTACCCTTTGACCCATATCTACTGTATTTCACAAACGATGCTGTTAAAGGGTCACACGAACTTGACCTCCCGGTTCCATTAATAGCCGTCCCATATAAGATCCCATAAATAGACAATAGAATATAAGCAAAGCAAACCTTTCCAATGGTATAACCAAAGGAATACTAGTTGGGTATAGACAGAGGATGTAATTCTAGCACTAAGTAGACATCGAAGAGATTGTATTGGGCACCTGTTACGCTGTAGAATAATACCGTTAGTTTAGGACGTCGTGTCAGTGCGGCAGCAGGTAGGCAGGCGGGCATGTAGGTAGGCACCAGGCAGTTAGGTACGTAGGTGCTTACGTCAGCCTACGGCCTCTGTTCGCGCTTTAATACATACTCGTATACACTGCTGAATTCTATATACGTACTATAGATGGCCAGTGCATGTCCTCCTATGGTTTGCCTTAATGTTTGATTCTGCTGCCTATCGTGGAAATTGTGGCACACTTTGCACCCAGCCGATTTACCTACATGACCGATTCCCATCCTAGAATCTCAGGCTGACGATATCTCCAGTATATATATAACGCACCATATAACATACATAAAGTACAGTACATTATATCGTACGATTACCATTATAAACCGTACAAGTACAAAGTTTGTTATACTCAACCGCGCATACGTTTGCATACGGATATACATATATGTATACATACCCTCACTTCATGTGCTCATCATCACTTTAAATGGCCGCTACGGCTACGAAGGAAGATGTGGGTATATTACGCGGCAGTCTGGTACATACGTGGCGACGACCGACTTAATTTCCACCTGCGGGTTCGATACAAATTTGATGAAAAAAAAAAGAGAAAGAAAAAAGAAAGGGAGAGAGAAAGAAAAAAGACTGCTATGAAAAAACAACTGAAATTGCACGCAACCCGAAAAGGGGGTTTCCCCCTCGTCTTTCCTCGTTGAAAGTACCGTTGCAATCGAGGAAGTCGATTACGCGAATCTCCGTTGGTTTCTTGCTCCAGTTTACACTCGAATGTACGAAATCTAGGACCCCACCAATTAGTTGTCCATAATCGTTAAGTGTACTGGACATTACAATTAGCCTTGATGATTTCAAATAACCTGCCCCTTGCTCCATGTCCAAGTACACTACTGTGCTTATTGAGACCAAAATTTGCCATGCCAAACGAATATAAGTATACGTCAAGGGTATAGTACCACAAGCAATGCCAGAAAGAGTTGGTAGGTGTCATCGTTGAAAGCTTAATCACTACCATGATTCGTAATCTCTGGTATTTTGTGGTGTACCTGTATCAAGAGTGTAAGTCGTGTCACGATCGTTGCGTAAAAGTTAACGCGGAGCTACGGATTTTCATGACATGGAATGATGATGACAGTGGGAAGAGACGGTGCTGGTTGAATGGGGCGGGGGAGGGGGAGAGAATCGTAAATTTCTGTGTGAATCGACCTCGGATGAGGCCATGGAATAAGGTTCCGCATTCTCGGCCCACAGCCTGAGGCCTCTTCTTAGCCTCTTCGTGTCTCTTTGACTTCTTCCTTTATCTCTCTTTCTGCATTCGTCTTGCCACGTAGCACACTGATTCCTTTGCTTGCCATTAATATCGTTCCACGATTCAATGACTGCCCCGTGTAGAGACATGCGTTGCAGTTAATCGAGTGGATTGGATAAGAGGGACGAAGGAAAATCATGCAGAAGAATCTTGACCAGTCGTCCCTGAGTCGCGTTGAAGATTATTTTGCGTACAAGGACACGCGTAATTTTTTGACGAAGTCGCAGATCGAGAAGAAATCCTTCGGAGATAGCGCTGGATGACCTTTGAAATTTTTGAAAAAAAATTCAGACTTTAATTAAATAGTTATTTATCTACGGAGGAATGGTTCAAAGGTTTCTTATACTCCTTTTTTTTTGGTTTTGTTTACAGATGACGACTGGGGTATACCTGCCGAGGAGAATGACTATCTACCGGAGACTGGCTCGAATTTGACTCTGCCCAGAGTGGCCCGAAGTCCCGAACGACTTCCGGTTGTAGGGAGAGGCGTGTCGCCGCACAGAAGTCGCAGAGCGCCGGAATTAAGACAGAGATCACCGAGTCCTCAGTATCAGCCCAGGATGAATCCTGGTGAAATCGTCAGTCCCAGGGAGCGGTTCCACGATGCTAAGGAAATGTTCAGGGCAATGGAGAGGGAGGTCATAGCTAGGCCGGTTATGGCCCGGCAACGAGAAATGGAAAATCACGAAGCTCACAGGTACAGAGAGAAAAGTCAATGAAACAGGTGGCCTGTAAAAATTCAATATACTATGTATATGTATAGAGTTGACTTCTGCGAGTGGCACCAGTTACCATTATAAACTTCAATACTGGACAAGGAGTAAGAGTTTCTGTATCTGCTTTAAAGGAGCTCTATAGAGGCTCGTTATAATTTTCATTTTCTGTACCAACCAGGGTCAGCTTTCTACGACGACTGGTTTTGTCTTCGGAAAATCCATAAAGGCTTTCACCGTCGATTATAAAAATAATGGAACACGAAAGGCGCATGTATTGGAAATACGTTATCGATGCGTGTATATTAAATTGAATTAATTGTTACAGATTAGAATCCAGCAGACAAGTTCACGAGGAAAGAATAAGTCGTCAGCCCAGTGGATCTTCGTCATCGGGAGTCATTCAAGAACACCTGGTAAGACGAAGCCATCCTGATCACTTGGTACGTGAACCGGAAGTCTCCTATAGGGCTCGGCCAAGACCAAGAACTCATCATTACCTGCCGGAACATCCACCGGATGCGGAAGTCACGCGAGCGCGACCACGCAGTTTCTACGAAAGTGCCTCTTCAGTCAGTAGGGACCAAATACGAGATCATCATAGGAACGTGATAGATCACAGAGACGTACGTCATTTATTATTATTATTTTTTTTTCATTTAATTCAATTTGACTCAAATTTATATTTTATTAATCTGAAATTTTTTTTAGATAAGAGATCTTCGTGATCGGCAAAATTCACGTGAATTGCGGGACAGACCACGCATGCGCGCAACTGCCTATCAAGAATTATCCGAACACGAAAGATATCCTGGTCTGGATCGGGACAGTGCCAGACCACCGTTGGAAATAGTTCCAGCAGCTGGTAGATACAGACACAGTTATGCGGAACCACCGAGACTTGGACTTGCCGCTCTTCATCCTTACTGACGTCTCAAAATAATTTGTCAAATGATCCGTGTATCGTCCTTATCCAATAAGACGATCAGCCACAAAATTTGCTCTTGCATTATTGCAATTCGACTATCCGGCGGTAAGATAATTTCGCGGGAATCTCAAGCATCTTTTGTCAAAAGATGATTTCGAGAATGACACTCGGTTTTATTATAAATAAGCCCCGTACGAGAAAACGTTAATACTATACTTAATCAAATCCCGACAATTGGATTTGAAACTGTCTGTATACAGAAAATTGTTCGAGGTGTACGAGCCGACGAGTATAGTCGATCGTACGAATTTGTTGTAACATTATTAAAAACAAATCGTTTACTACTTTCTATGATATCAATTAATTGTTGTTATTCGTGTTATCAAAGGAGTGTATATCGTTATCAAGAAAATTATGAAAATTGTTTATTCATTAAATTGCCTGTACGTACTTACATTGTTATACAAATGACGCCTGACTAACGACAATAATAATAATAATAATTCGTACTAAATATTCGTATTTTTATAACTTTTCCTACGTATCTTATTATTATTATTTTATATTTATCTTTAAATCTTTCTTTACTTTCTTGGATTTTTGACAAATTACGGATTCAACAGTCTCCACGATTCTGATCTCCTATCCCACGAATGAAAGTTGACATTATTCACTTACTGCGGTTCTGTACGCAACGCGACACCGACACTCAAGCCAGTGTCGCAAGAGAGCGACTGGGTAACCGACACGAAACAATGAAATAATACTCGCGAGAATAGTGGCGCTATGACTTTTACGGAAAAGTTGTTAAACATTGCCTAATCGCGAGTAATTAACAACAATAGACGTATCGTAACGTGGTAACCGCGTTAATTAATTTATTCCATAACGACCGCGGTTTTTGGTTTACTCATCCGATGGAAAAAAAATAAAATCTCTCAATATCTACAGGAAAATAAATTGCATATTTTTTATCCACAATTTTTTGTTTTAAAATTATTTGGGAATCCTCCATAGAGCATGTGGGAGAGATTCAGAGAAGACACTGTAGTAAGAATATCTTTGACTCGTCAACTGTTTTTATTCTCTCTTACACGTCACACGAGAGTAATGGTGATCAAATAAAAAAAATACCTTGGCTTTCACCCGGATCGAATTTGGTAATGGTGGTTAGGTACGTTCGACTACGATCGTTCAACAATTCGTGTCACGACCCAAGAGAAATCCACGGGTTTCCAAATATATTTGTTATGTAAATCTCAGCCGATGACGCTAAATAAATATTTCATGGGTTCCAGACTCCACTGATCTTTTCACTGTCAATTGCTTTATGCGTCAAATGCACAACTGCCAATATAATGAAATTAAACCGAATGACAATAATATTCTCAAATTTCTCTCAACGCTGGGAAACAGTTGAAAAGTGACAATTAAGAAAATAATTTTCATCACCAAAAATCAAATTTCTCAAAAAAAAACCTATACGGTCTCTACTTTGTGAATGAACCTGTACATAAGGTTAGTATTATAGATAATTCCAGACGATCGGTGCACGTGAACCAACCTATACCAAGCGGGTGAAAATCAAACGGGGACCAGAATAAGGAATGATCTCTCCGGATTCTGAGAATCCGTAGCCTCAAGGCGGGCGACACTGTAGTTCGTTGAAAAGGCGATCTCACGTGTGCTCAATGTACTAGATCGCCGATACGACGTGACACTATAGAGAAAATGCGAGAACTAAGCAAAAAGAAATTTAGGTAAAAAAGGGTGAAAAAAAGAACGTCAAAGAAAATACGAACACGCGATCGACCCTGTACCATGAAAAATTTCGAAGCAGAAAAAGAAAATTGAACTTTTAATATCGAATTAACTCAATTGGAATGACAATTTTTTTATCTTCTATCTATTTTCACTCCCCTTTTTTTAACTATAATCTTAGATCCATTTCAATGATCCCAAGTCGTACATCAGTAAGCACGGCCATTTCACGAGTGGTTGTCATGATTTACACGCAAATTACTTTCGCGGTTGGCAAAGCAGGAAGTGGGAAGTACCACGCAAGTCCGATATATGCCCGTTGCTGAATGGCGAATGAATGGAAAGTCGATGATGTTATACGATTGTATAAATGAAATCGTAATAAGCAGCCCCCTCCGTAACCCGCTAAATTCCACGTGCTTTTCTCATTTTACAACCGAGCGAATTGTACCTGATCTCAAATGACGTAACGACAATTGCATAAAAAGAATGAAAGTCAATAAAAGAAAAATTGTTATGTTCGTAGAGAAGTGCAATGAAAAATGCATTTATTAAATATTTATTAACCGCGCAACTGCATAAGTATACATATATATAGACTTTTTATACATCTAAGAATAAATTGTTTAAGGACACTAAGGACATTCCTGACTTTCTAAGAATTCCCATAAAATTACGAATGGCTAGTTTGTTTCAACATATACACAGTAACATGGGTAGACTCAAGATGAATTTAACTGTACATATACCTGTTGGTTCTCCTTCGTCCATAAAGGGACCTGGCAGGAACCTGCTTGAGTTCTCTCGATGGCAGTGACCTGTTAGGGGTCTTTTGGGCCCCATGCTGTATACATTCTATAGGTATCAGTTGTCGTTTAAATGCCACGGATGTTCGACAGACTCTTTATCACGTCGTTATACCTTAAGGACCAGAAGGCGCCACTATACGTAAAATATTTTTCAGTGCAAAAATCTCGATTTTCTTTCCTCATAATTCATACTCGCGCATTAAATATTGTCGAACTGTATATATTTAACCGTTCGAATAATTTCTGCACTATTTCATCTATTGAATATTCGAATACGGAATACCTGTGAACTTTCGAGAGTTGTTACGGCACTGGTTTGGCATGGGGCGTCTATATCGTCGATAGGTAAGAACGTAAGCCAAGCCATGACCTCGTGTGCCTATCTAGAGGCAGAAGTACGTGATAGAAAAACGGATACTTCGTGTCGGAAGTGCCGTTGCTCCTAATTTGACTAAGTGGAAGCAGTTCGTGATATAATTCGATGTACTTGAAACGTTTATAGATCAAATGAATTAGAAAGACATAAAAGTATAGATAGGACAAAATTCCTGTACAGTTGATTATTCGTACTGTCAACTCCAAAATTAATTTTCTTCGTGTGTTTTAAGAATTGATTGCTGTATCAAAAATTACAATATTATTGTCTTACTATATTTTTCATATATATCTATATACGTGACGTGAGTAAGCATAAGCTAATTGTAAGTTCAAGCATCATTCCAGTTACATAGTGAGAGGATACCAGCAATTTTACTGAGCCCGTTAGTAAAAGTGAATAGAACGCTCGCAGCAGATGCGTTATAGACGGAACGTGCCGAGCATTCGTGTCTCCCGTTATTCTAATCCGGCATGAAAGTTAAATATGCACAGTCACTAATTTGCAGCAACGGATAGTTTAATGCATCATTGTTCCGTCAGCAAACCTTATCAGAGTGAACCTAGGACAAGGAATGGACTTTACAATGGGAAATGTGGATACCTGTAACGTAGATAGGAGAGAGAATCTTTTTTCAATAGAGGATAGAAGGAGGATGTAGATAAGTGGAAATGTAAAACCTGGAAAGAATTTCAAGTCACACTGTATTTACACGGCATGAAAACTTGGCGAGAGAAAATTCAAAGATACGAATAATAAAGTATGCCAGGTATCTTGGGCTTAATGGCAGACCCTGTCTGTCCCACGGAGCTGGGACAGTCTTTGTACCACTTCCTGTGCAACTGGATCTTACGAGAATTCAGGTGTAAAAGTCCCTTAGAAAAAAATGCCGACAGAAAATGGTCGGATACAGGTGTTGCCAAAAATTGTCTACCTATTTTGACTGGTACCCAGGTACCAGGTGCGAGATACCTGAAGGAATTTATTATTTTGGAAGTAACTTTTGAGAGAATTAGTATTTTTTTAAAAAACCTTATTCAAAGAAAGTAGCATATTATTAGGGGATTACTACGGAAATTAATCATCGTGAATATTAATTCTCAAATTTTTTTTTTCGATGCATTCATCATTTTACGACTATAATTTTATCGGAATTAATAATGAATTTTCGATTGTCTGAAGTCTGGTGGAAATAAGAGAGCCGATTGTGATTGGTGGGCCAAAAGGAGACGCTGGAGTGGGAGAACTATGAATTCTTTGTAATTAACGTGGCGATGACCTACTGACCTACTTGTCGACAATTTTATTCGCGAAACAGTCTACCGATAGCCAATAGGAGACACGCTCTCACGGACCGAATAGGATTTTTTTGAATATAAGAAGTACGGGCTCGCTTGAATGAATTTGTAATTATCATAACACTGTATATACACATATGTATGATATCGAATTAATTGCTCCTTAATTTTTAAAAGTAATTAACACTTGACGTTTTGGGACCAGTCGCAATCTGATAAGATGAACGATTGTCATTTGCTGTAGCCATTGAGAATATTTTAGAAATAATTTTCAGACACCCGTTATACAAAAAAAATACCAAGCACGTCCTGTTCCTTCTCGACTTACGATGCGCGTCTTGATTATATGTAATTACAGATGACGTGAAAAAGCCAGATATATATATATATATACTAAACATTCCATCGAGCGTAAATTCCAAAGTACCTTTTGCATATTTACGTGAAGATCACCGAGTTTCAAAAATGCGAAGGGAACGTTACAAAAATATTTATAATAATAAAATTCTTGGTTTAATTTTTAATCCTTTTTTTCCGTTCATCCAACCCCACCAATTCACGATTCCCACGTTCCGATATGTCTTCCTCTTATTCCACTTTGCTCGGTATCCTTATGCTTTTTTGTTAGAATCGGAACGCGGCTTACACAAGAGTGCGGATCCTCATTGTTGCGACGCGAATGTTATCCGGCAGGATCTTATTGCGCGTCTAGCGTCGTCTAACTACATACACTCTATTTACTTAACAGTAAACAGTTCGTGAGTAACGTTACTTAGTTTTCGACGACGACGCTTGTGTATAGATATATTATGTATAACATGGAGTTAGGTATGTACACTTTTTCTATCCACTTTCCTCGCGATCGGACAGCGTAACGAGAACAGATTTCGGATAAAAATCAAGACCTCAGGTCTACATGGTATCAGTAAGAAATTATTCAAAAGATATCGATAAGCTAAAAAATTTTTCGTATATAACCAAAAATTGCTTTGTAGGTAAGAGGAATTTAATTATGACAAATTTCATAATTATATTTTTATATCGTGGTCGAGCATAACTGAAGCTTCCAATAGGCAATGTCAGGAATAGGTCGAAAAAGATCAATATTTATTCATGGAACTCGATGTGGACCGGATCGATTTGCATACTAATCTCACAAGTAGTGCCATACCGGTTGAATGCCTTTGTGTTGTGTGGATAGATTCGTGGTGTGTGCTTTCGGAAATTCTTTAAACAGATGTGCGTCTACGTGTGAACATATGTGCTGTAGAAATATATGGAATAGGTTAGTCGAAAATTTCTGTTGAGAAATATTGACATTGGACATTGGTCAGGGTTCTTTGATCACGCGACCGTGAATGTAGGCTTCAAAGATTGTCCGACGAACAGTGGCTTCTTATCGAAATAGCTACACGCATACTGTATTTGCATAAAATTCTGTGTCATTCTCATAAAAAAAAAATGTTAATAAAGAATGACATAAAAATTCAAACCAGCCGACACGTGTTCTGCGTGATACATTGGCAAGACAAATTTTAAGACCCGTGGGTGGATTTACAATTTAAAAATGATTTTCGGTCTTTCCAAGTATATTTATTTGCACATAGTAAAAGGGTTATATGTTGTATGATTATGTCTTACCTGATAGGGACCACACCTAAATACACCTTCGAAACTCCCATCGGTACAGAATGTCTGACCTATAAAGAGCAGAGTGCCCCATAGAGTATACGAGGCAGTACGTAGATTCGACGGGGTGCAGGTGCGTACCAAGAAGAAGAGAAAGAAGAAGAGGAAGAAGAAGAAGAGGAGGAGAAGGCGTGGTGAGCGTGGGGCCCCGGGGGTCCTCCGCGCCGTTCGAGGGGGCCCGAACCTGGGAACGGGCTCCAAGACAAGCGTCCACAGCTCTGTGAACGTCTAGAGTACCTTAGTCCGGGTCCGACCGCCTTCACCTCGGCAGTTACTCGCGAACGCTCTTACGCGCACGTAACGCCACCTTTACGGAATCTCACTTCCTCAGAGAAGTGGGCTCAGGTCGGCAAAGAATACTTCTCGTGTAAGGGACGGTGGCGATCTCGGGCCCGAAGTCCCCGATCGGACCGACCTCGCCACGTCGAATGCACGGGTCCCCAAGACGAAAAACTCGCGAAAACTCTCGCCGGGAGCCGCACCTCTGAATTCCACGGCAGGAGACCAACACACCGGACAGCCTGAATTCCAGAAGACACGTACAAGTTCCTTACACGCATACACCGGTGAACAGACCACATAACCTGGGTACATAGAGAGCCAGTAGCCAGTGAGTGTAGACAGACCGTACACAGAGAGACCCTGAGACGTAGTGGGGTAAAAGGTGATATACCTGTGAGAATAGTGGGGGATACTGTAAAGTCGCGTGGTGGGGATTGAAGTGATTAAAGTGGGGATACTCCTTTGGGAATATCATAAGGTTAGGGTGGGGGAAAATGCCCAGAAAGACGGCGGCCATAATGGCTTTAGAAGATCTCCGCTAGGCGGCTACAGCTGCTGCGAAATCGAGTTCCGTGCTGTCGAGCATCGCCGCGACTTTCGCAATAGGTTTTTGCCGTCGCGCGAACGCTACGTTTAAGTGTAATATACAGCTGCGCGAAACTCGCCTTTACGAACTGTCGTGTTCTTCGGTGCGTTTTAGGTAATAACTCGATGAGGATTCTATTGAGGGTGGAGTGCCAGAAAACACGCGAGAGAGTGTCTCGCTGTCTAATTGAGACAGGAGCGTGAGTGCTGTTTTATATTGGAATAGTGAATTGGAAAATCATGAGAGGTGCAGCACAAGACACGGCAACGCCGTACTGCAGATGCAGGGTGCTGTATCTTGGCAGTTCGGTGCCACATGCGAGCAAGGAAGGTCTTCTAGGAGTGCAGGAGCCACTGAGGGAACTTTATCCGGAACAGGGTGCCTTAGGGGCACGGGGGATCGACTCCTGGTTGAGCGTATGGTCAAATGGATTACTTTTGGAGAACGTGGACGAGCACAGGAAGAAAGTCACAAGGTTCTTCCCCATAGACGCACTTCATTATTGTGCTGCCGTGCGACACGTGAAAGGTGGCAGTAGCGGCGATGCAGGTAGCACAAGATTTCTACCCTTGGATTCACCATTTGCACGGACCCCAAGTGCAAATCATCCGCCCCTGTTTGCCGCTGTGCTGCGTAGAACAACGGGAATCAAGGTGCTCGAGTGTCACGCTTTTATCTGCAAGCGTGACATGGCCGCTAATGCCCTGGTCAGATGTTGCTTTCATGCTTACGCCGATAGCAGCTATGCCAAGGGTCTAGATCCTACGAGTACGAATACGAATGGCATGAGCACATCCCAGCCATCTTCTGGTAGCCTATACCATACCTTGGGTGGGTCTAGTACGACCTTGGATAATCCAGGACCCCGATTGGACACTTCTGCGGATGATCTTAGTCTTTACAACGGTGATGAGAATCATAAAGTCTGGGCTAGAGGTAGGGACGAGGTTGACGGTATCTATCAGGAACAGGGTACTCTCCGTAGCACCAAAGGATCCAGACCTCGGCAATTGGTAGCTCCACCACCACCCCCGCCGCCACCACCACCTCCAGTACAACCACTTCTAGAAGAATCAACGTCCAGAAGAAAAGCTAATAAAAAACCGAAAAAACGTAGAGGTCACGAAGAAGCAATGCATCAGATGCACCCTCAGGCTGTTTACACTAATGGCCATGGACATCACACTCTAGGTCATCCGGTCAGACAGCATTATCATCCGCATCAATTACCGCCCAGCAGTCGTTCCGTAGCAGGTACACTCGCCAGACCAGCACCGGTTCTGCTGGTACCTGCCGCGACTTTACCTAGGAAGGCTCATCATCATCCTCATGCTAGGGGCATGAGGCCTATACCGGCTGCTGCCCCTATCGTTCCGATTTACGCACCACTTCCTGTACCACCCCCTACAGCCATGTACCCTCCAGCAGCGGCAGCAGCAACTTATGGCACTACTGGAAATCGGGGTAGACGCCATGCACCCGAACAGGACTCATCCACCTTGGGAGCATCCAGGAGACTCACAGCCTCTCACGCAGACCTCACCGCACCAGAACCGACAGTTCCAGATAGTCCTGAGAACGAGTCACGATTTGGTACAGGAATATATCGTCGTAAGGGTCACCTTAACGAAAGGGCCTTCTCCTACAGTATCCGGGCTGAGCATCGCAGTCGCAGCCACGGGAGCTTAGCATCTCTTGGCTTCAGTGCTCAGAACGGTTCAGCATTGCCTAAGGAAGACAAGAAGGATCGTGAGATTGCGCAACTGGTGGCTGGACTCAACCTAGACGAGGGACAACCGTCAGCTGGACCTTATTCGAGGGGCGTACACCATCAGCAACAACCTCAACCGCTACCCAGGCCCCGGCCGCGTTAAGATTTTGCGTAATCAGATGCGAAACGAGAGTGAACCGTTCGACAGGAAAAAAATGATATATGATTTCTAATTATTAATTGGCTGCTCTTAGGCTAATTAACAATTGTGCGCAGAGCAGCCTTTAATGATATGAGAATTTGGAGACTGTGTCCTTGGGAATCGGAGGGATTTGGGTCAGTACGCCCACCACGAAATTTCTCTGAAAATGATGACTCTCGCGTTACGTGTATTTCATTTATGCTTTATTAACAACGTTGAATATACATCAGGATTATAGATATTGTATAAGCACACACACGGCACAAAATAACTATCACTCGTATAATGTCTTCCTACGAGTACTGGTGTATGACTATGAAATTAGTGTCACATAACACTAGTTCTATCATCACGCCAGGGCCGTAACAATATCGAATTCATAAGTCGTATTACAATATCGAGACCTATTCTTATATGAGTCAGGGATTCGTTTCATTGTTACACCCAAAATTAAGTCAATACGAAAAAATTTAGAGAGACGTTCGTTACGGGAATGCGTCTTCCTGTTCGCTTATATCCCGTAGTTGTTTGTTAGACAAAAAAGTATGCGAAACAAAGAACACTGCGTATTATATATTGTAGTCACTTTTTTTTATTAATGATGGTGACTATAAAGCGATAAATTCTATTCAGCAAAGACAACAATTAAATAATTGAATTTTATGCCGACCATTAACGCGAGTCAAGTCACAGCTGATCATCCTTCGACCATATTCGTTGTTGACTTGTAAGAAGATGCGTCGATTAAATGATGGCATCGCGCGTTTTACACCTACTAACTTTGTTTTGCCAACCGTTAATATATTTGAATTTGATTGCGGCAAAAGGATGCGCTTCTGTCATTTATTAGTCACTTGATTATTTGCGCGGAGTTTTGCGCGTCAAGGTTTTTTCGTAACGTAATCGTGTATTTTTTTTTTCGTAGCTTCTTCCACCTCCCATCTTCCTCGATCATATCATTAGCATTCGACATTCGCGAGACGCTTGAGTCATTCTCCTCGCGTTTACCCGCATCGCAGTTTGCGGATACTGCATGCATTTACGTCAGTTTCCATTGGCGATAGGCAGTCTCCCCGTTTTCAATTTTCTCCATTGCTATGCGAGGGTAATTGTTTAATCTTTTTATTCATTTTTTCTATCGCAATTTTACCAAACGGTAAATTATTATCGACAACATCCGGTTGTACTCTCGTTCCACGAGCAATTAGGAATATTACTTTTTGTACGCTTTAATACACTGTCCACATCCGGTAGAAATGTAAAATTTCGTATATTGCGATTTTAACGAAAAATTCAAAAATGCTAGGACTCTTCTAATGAATATAGTGCGAAATTTCCAGAGTTACGTGGAAATTCAAAAAGTATAGTTCTGAATAAAAAGTGACGCTAAGAAAAGATTATTATTAATCAGAAATTAATTAAAGACCCAGCGACGTGGTGCTATTTCTATCTTCATTTTTTTTTTCTTATCAAATTTCAACGGTGCCTGTTAGCTGACATAAAATCGTCGATGAAATCTTTGTTATCTTTTTAAAAAAAAAAGAAAGATTTTTGAAAAGTGAAAAAGATACCTCGCGCAATCCTGTGCCAAATTCAAACTATCTTTCGAACGTCGAATGGGTCAGAAAAGACGATCGTTCTTCTTTTACTATTAATTATATAAATATAAACAATTTCATATAAATTAAACAAACCTCTCCTGACGTAACAAGCATACCTGCGAATATACGTCACTGGTAATTCGACGGATTCCCATTGGCCGTTTCTTTTTTATAATAAGACTATTATTCCCTATGCATCGATCTAGGGAATAATATTGAATGAAAAAACGTATGCATCCGCCAAACTAGAAAAACTTTCATTCACCAAATAACAATTTCGCATATTTTCACGGCGATTAAAGTAACCTTACCTAAAGACAGTAAGAAAGGAACCTTTCCTACGTATCCCAATACACGTGTGTAATAAATCTGTATAAAACGAAGTCGAAATGTTATACATGCTATATGTCTACCAGGTATATATACATATACATATATTTTATATAACATAACCATACAAAACGTATTTACCAAATAAACGAGTCACGATCGCTCAACGTCATTCCTGGTTTAATTGCCAAGAATGACAGTTGCTAAAACTAGAAAAAGGCAATGGAATCATATATACATTTGTTTTTGAACGTCAATATTTCTCTAACTTATGAACAGTGCGTAGGAGCGCGCACAAGAAATCCTTAACACACGGAACTAAACATGCGTCTACGTATTATTTATACTTTACCCCACGTATTACCCCATTGCATAAAGCTATCGAGATAGATATTACATCCCGTCAAAGGATACTCCTTTCGTTTCGATACTTTTGTAATCCAACGGTGAGGAGATATCCAACTTTCTTTTTTTTTTTCCCCTTTTAATTTATCCACTTCATTCTAGATAATGTCTTTGTGAATAAAAAAACGATCCTTCTCGCGTTGCCAAGGATCGACCTTACGTAAACCGTATAGAGATGCCATAATTTTTCATGCGCGAAAAATACATGTTTTTCGAGAGAAATAAAAACTAAAAAAAAAAAATAAGAATTTCACTGTATCCAAAACGTAAGGTCGATCTCTCGCAATCCTTATCCACCGAATAAGGAACCGTCTGTAGGATATACTTATATTGATAAATATACATACTTGTATGCTGAATTAATATAGAATTGCATTTATGACGTCACTGGTGTCTTCCAGAATTACGTAAAGCACTTTTATGTATGTAATTATAGTTGACCTAAGCGCGAGCGTAATCCACCCGGTTGTAATATCGAATTCACCTTATATGCCGAGGTCACGTGTTTACTCGATGTATACGTAAGTACATATGTGTCTACGCGTTATAGTACTGTACGTCATAATGTAGGTGCGTTATGTCATGCGTCTATTATGTACAGAAAAACGAGCACCGATATATAGGAATGTGCCATCCAGTATGCGAGGAAGATATATAAATACATATTTATGTATTATACATAATGAGAAAGAGAACGAAAGGACGAAGAAAGCAAAGATAAAAGAAAATGAACAGTATAAGAATAACAGAGAGAAAATATGTATGTGAATATATAATACAAGAAAGGCAGGTAATAAAGTTGCATTATGTGTATGAAATATTAATTTTTCTATTTTTTATTTTTATCACCAAACAAAAAGGTCGTTCATTGAAAAATTTGCGATTAAAATTTTACACGACCTTTCGCATAACCACGTGCGACCGTTATTCCAATAAAGTTACTATTCGTTGCAGCAGAAGCCTATTAATTGGTATTGTGGAATTCCCATTGCAATTTGCATGCTCATTTCCTAACGATAAGTTTTGCCCTTCGAGAATAAAATTCTGCTATTACAGTTAGAAGGTCACTTCGTAGTTACAGTTAGCTAGTTGCGGGTGTAGTACTGACATGGAAATTGGGTCAGTCCTGGTATCGCTTTTTAATGAATCCCATTCCAGTTTGCAAAATGACGATCACAATTGATTTACCGGACGAATTGACTTTTCTAACGGGATCTAACGGACTCACGTCTACTCCGAGAGATTTTATAAGGCCCGAAAAAAAAGAGGGACTCATCGAACGCTATCTTCTTGGTGGAAACGTCATTGCAACGTAGCTCTTGGACAGGAGTCACGAAGATAATATTTTCGTGGCATGTAAATTAGCGTGAAACGAACTGTACCTAGTGTTGCCACTGGAATGGAATATTTACAATTCCGTCGATGAAACGGTACAGCCTGCTCGGACGCTTATATCACAATTTTTCTCTATCCTGGACTTCCTGCACTTTCCATTGGTTCAATAATCGCTTCCGTAAACTCAATCAAGCGTCGCATTTATTTTTCGAGCGAATCAGCCTGTATAATTGCTTTACGCAGAACTCATCATAACCATAGTCTCTTGGGAAATTGAGAACAAGTCGGTTAAAGACTCTGTACAGTCTTTATGGCCTGAGTGGAACAAGGAGAGAAATACTCATGGTGGTGGAGAGAGTCTGATAATGAGAGAGCAAAGGAGAGCGAAAGAGAGAGTAGACTGTAGCGTTAAACGGTATACAATTTCTGCAATGTAAAAGATAAAATAATATCTGACTTACGAAAAAATAAAAAATCAACTTGACCATGAATAAATTATCGGAAGAATACTTATTCTTTATGCAGTTAACATAAATATGAAAAATATTTAGAAAAACAATTTTTAATTCAATTACGTCACATCCATTTATAACCCGTAGCTGTAACAGCAGATGTTACCAAGGTAAATTCTTTAGTAACGATCGACGAGCTGTACAACAGATATTCTTCCGGCTCTTCGTAAACGGTCCAGCCAAGGTGGCATCTACCACCTGACGTTGGATATTAAAAATGAACAGTAATCTTATTATTTACAAAATACCTTGTAATTATTATAACACTATTCTCATACAATTTCAAATTAGACTTTGTCAAGATTTATTGTTGTCTAATTTATATCTAAATTATAAATTATACGTGTCAGTAATATATGTATTTTGTTTCATTTGAATTTTGTACCGTAGGATCGAATTAACAGTTGGTAGCTTATCACGTGAGAATAAAATACGTGCATACTATAGACTTATAGGCTACTTATACGTAAAGATTCAGATAACAGTACTCCAACGTCGGTCTCATCGCTATGGTACCGTTAGCAACCAGCAACGAAGCGGTTCTTCGCATCTTCCTCTACGCGTGCCTCCTCTTCGTGGCTCCACCTCCAACATCAGCGCCGGCAAGCGCGCACCCATGGCACCAACCTCTACCACTGCGAGCAGTAGAGGAGAGCCTTGCTCTTCGTAGCGCGGATCTTCCCCTCGAACTTACTTCAGACCAGTCATGGACCACACGCGTCCGTCAAAAGGTGCAAGGATCCCTGGCTCGAACGCCATCTTCATTGGCATCCTTATTCGTAGTGTATACAGTGGATAAACTTCGGAACCATGATTTTTCACGGTATGACAGTTTATTGTGGTGCTTTGTATTTTAAGGTACTTCGTACTAATAATGTTCTCTTGAATTTTTCCGGGTGTGCAATCGAGCCTGTAATGGTACATGGGTAGTGTGAAGTGATCAAAAATTGTTTTATAAATTTTTTTTTCCAATACCGATAAAACCTTTTTTGGATATTGCATAGTATTTCTTTGTGTATTTAATTCCTTTATGGTAGAAAATGGCATGCGGACTGGCTGTGTCAGTTAGCAGGAAGTAATGGGGTCTTGAACTTGGTAATTAATAATGGAATTTTTGACTGTTGCCAATTTGGCTGTTTTTCATAACGGGGATTGAGAAATCCAGAGTTTAGTTAGGATGCAACAAAAGTGCATGTATGAAATTGTATCCTAATTCTTGTACGCGAGAGGGGAAAAAAGAGGATACGAAGGGAACTAGTGAGAGGCGTATAGAGTACGAGAGATACATGGCGAGTGTGTGGCTAGAAAAAGGAGGTGGAAAGGAAAGCCAGGTAATTTCTACCTCGCAACCATTTTCATGGCATGCTCCCATTTCGTTACCGTGAATTTATACGAACCGCGCTAATTGGACTGTCTGGGCGAAGCTAATGAACTTTTATTGGTTGATCTGGTTAATTGCAAACGTCGAATCGTTAACACTCTTTGACTTTTCAATCTTGACCTCTTCTTAGTCATCTCGATACCAAACGAAAATAAATATTAACAATTTTCCAGTAAGGGTAGGAAATCCAAAACGTTAAAAAATGTGGCATGGCAATATTAAAAAAAAAAATTTTTACACTTTAACTATTTTCAATAAAGTTGACCTACTTCTTTTTTGATATATAGTATTTCTCATTCCTTTTTTATATATATGCGCGTTACCTTGATACTCGACATTAATTTATGTGCATGTTGAACGCCGGTACTTCGAATAAGCTTTACACTGTACACGTGTAACATACTATATATGGAATATACGCCAATATCCTTTACAACTATACAAGTGGACTTATGGACAAAAGTATATATATATTCTTATACATACATCACAATATATAAACAGTTATACAACCTGACGAACTGTTAGGTTTGTCTGAATCAGTACTGAGCTTCTCACTATCTTTGGTATTTTTTAAGGTTTCGTGTATTGTCATGCGTTACTTATTGACAGACGTTTAGTAAAATAACGGTACAAGTATGCTTCGCGTTATTGTCCACGAACGTGTAGTACTAACATGAGTACTCGGTCATGGTAAAGATATAACAATGAAATTTGAATAAGATTGATATACAATTTTTTTTCAACGACCAAATTTTTATACATGTTCACAGATCGGAGAGGAGGATCGAGATACGTTATACATAGAAAACCGGAAACCTCACAATTGTTCCTTGGAAAATTTGATACTTCAAAGTGATAAGAAAAACTAGAATTCAAGATGTCCTGTGTTGAGGAAGGTTTTCGTCTTGGCGGTGCACCTTCCGAATGTTCGCTCAAGAGTAAAGCAAGGATAGACGCCCTCTTCGAGGACTCAAAATCAGTCTGGAGCTCCACGCTCGGAGGCTGGTACGCGGCAGTCTCGACAATGGCGTCAACGAATCCCGAAGACATCGGTACCGAGGAACAGAAACGGGTGAACAGCGCAGTTCAAGCAAGAATCGAGGCGATGTTCGCATCCGTAGAAGCGGAGCACGCAGTTCCTGGGGAATCGGCAGCAGCCATTTTATCGGTATGTATAAAACAATACTTTATACTTATATATATAATTTATCATATCAATCAGTATGTTATTATGTCTTTCTTTTTTTAATAGGCACTTAACTTCTAATAAGTGTTAATTGACTTTACAGTGAAATCATATAATTATCATAGATCGTTTATCGGTTCTCCGAGTCTAAAGAGTGGTTCACTTTGTCTAAAGAGTGTTAATTGCAAGGATTTTGTTAATTGTCGCATAGTACAGGATATTCTATTGTACAAAGTTCTAAGGGCGGATGTATCTGTCAGATGTGTACGTAAAAGTTACATTTCACTTATGGTAATTGGATATATCTGTATATATCAAGTGCAACGAATTTACATAGAAAAAGCTAAGATCTTGTAAGCTCTTGGGCTTTTCACCTCGTTTGAATTTTTAATCATCACTTTCATTCCGTGCCTAGTAGATCTGCCAAGCGTGGCCGTTCAGGCTTCTCAAATAATTCGTTCGCGTTGAAAATTCCCCTTCACTGCCACTATGGTATGTGGTATATCTCTATGATTGGTATCGTGGCTATTGAATTTTCCACGAATGTCTCTAATATTCCTTTTTGATGTCTGAGACATTCCAGTAAGCTTCTCCCCTTGATCGAGTTTCATGCAGATTTCCAATACGATTCGACGTAATGTATTCTGAAAGAAGTAATGGATAATATTTCTGACGTTGACCCACTACAGTTTTATTTACAAATTTTTGACTGCTAGTTTATTTTTTATTATTTAAAAAAACTCACTCTCAATTGCTTATATTAGTCATCGTCTAACGTTCCCAGTTTCATTTGAATAAGAATCCTGTACCGTTGGCATCTTAATGAGACATCAGCATTCCGTATGAAAATAGCACAGTCCGCGTTTCATCATGCGAGCCTAACCTGTATTGAATTCTCGATAAAAAAAATATTATTACGGAGAACATGGAATGAAGAAATTTATAAGAGCTTTTATAAATTTTCAGGTAAAGTATATGGGAGCAGCGCCAGTGGGCGGGAGAGTGGCAAGCGTCCGAGGACTTCAGGAGCCTCTTCGTCAGCTCTTGGAACGTCTTGAGGATTCGATAGCAGCTGAATTGGAAGTGTCACGACGTGGTTTGACATTTCGTACTAGTGACAGCAACGAGAAAACGAATCCCTTCCGTAGAATAGCAGTCTGGAGTGCATTGAGGTTGAGGTCCAAGGAGTCAGCCTCGGGTGAACTTCATCACGCCTTCCTGCCCTTGGTTGGAGACGAACAAGGAATTGGATCCAAGGACAAGCACGCCGACCTCTACAGGACCATGCGTGGCCTCAAAGAAGACGTCAATGAATATCCACCGATTTTTGCAGTGGTCATGAGAAGACCGGGTGCCGCCAGAGTTCTAGAGTGTCACGCCTTTGCCTGTCAGGTCGAAGAAGATGCTATTGCTGCTGCGGCGACCCTCTATCGGGCCTTGTTGGCTGATCTGGATGCTAATCGTAGACGACCTAGACAAGCTAATGGTGTTGGTTGTGTCAGCTTAGCCTCGGTTGCTTCTAGTGTGCGTGAACAGAGTCTAGGAATGCCATCAAGAAACTTCAGACAGGCACCACCTAGACCCACTGCTCCACATCCTGTGAGGCCACCGCGTGTGAAGAAAACTTCGATTTCCAGTATCACCGAAGACGAACCATCTAGTTCTGGTCTGGAAGCTCCTAGAAGGAAAAAGAAGATACCTGACGTCAAGGCTGATGACATACTCGAAGGAAGGAGTCGAAGACAATCAGCAGATCTTACCAGTGGCGTCAAACAGATGAGAACTGGTACCAGCTCGGTGGTCGATAAGGAAGAGAAGGAAAATCTGAGGAACAAATTATACGACGTCAGTAAAGACATTTATGGCGAGGTCGATAAGCTCTATGGTAATAATGCGAAAGAAGCTGATTCCAGGAAACTAAACAAGTACGAAAGATTGCCTATAAAGAGATGTGAAGTATGGAATAGCTCTGACCAGGTAGATAGGATAGAGGAAGATAGGAACAGAGAATCAAAAACAAAACAAATCAATGAGATTTATATGAAGAATCAAGGATCTTATGATCTCACGAGGATCTCACGTAGCAAGAGTAACCTCGCGCTGGAAACTTATTCCACGAAGAAACCAGGCACTAAACTTTACGATAGAAAAGAGGAAGCTAACGTTCGCCTTAATAGTCGCCAGAGTGGTATTTACGATCAGGAGGAACTCACAAGAAGGAATCATCAAGGGGCACGACATCATGATGACGCGGACAAGATATACAGTATTAACCAGGAAGACGTGTCCTTTCCAAAAAATTCTGAAATTTACAGCAGTCGTTCGACTAATGGAGTTTCCCAAAAATCCAATAAAAGTCGACCAAGTTCATCTATGGATTTTCACCCCAGAGAGAAAATAACAAAACAGAATGTGGAAGCTGCACGAAGCCAGGAAGATCTCTATGGGCAAAAGAGACTCAGTAGAATATCGACTATGGACAAACACGTAAGAAATACAAGGAGCGAGTGTAACGATACCAAAATGGTAGAATACTCACAGCCAAGAGCAAGAAAAACTAGTAGAGCTGGCAGTGAGCCACCTAGATGCAGATCCGAAGAAGCTACTAGAATGATAGAGGAGAATAAGTTAAAGAGGGCTCAGAGTGATCTTGACGTGGACAGGGGTGATCTCATGACAAGGGTTGAATTGCCACGAAGGGGTAGCTTCCTTAATACTGGAAATACCAGAAGACCCAATAATATAACAGGTGGTACGCCATTGGGATTTACTGAACTGTTTGATGAATTTCGAAATCAAGAAGGACTCACTAGTGTTGATGATATTTTGGCAGCCATCATAGGCAAGTGTATTTTTAACAGAATCAATGCTTTAATACTAAATATTAATATTAAAATACTAAATATTATGTTTAACGGTCGCTATCAAATTCTCAATGAATGTCAAATTTTTGTCCTATAATTTACGGCTATATTTGAATATCGATGACCTCAAAGGGTTTGCTAAAGAATATTTATTTCTTCGGAATAATTCTCATAGTCGGGGAATCCGGTTCTCCTCGACCTTGTCTCTAGACGTTTGACTACATTCTATCGTACGCGTGGTCCTACGATAATCGAATGATAGCGAGACCCAAAACGTTGAGCCAAAATTTATCTTCGTAGTAAATGTTTTTTAAGAGAGTGTGATTAATGAATTTAGAAAGTCCGTTATTCGAGAATCAATGTTACTTCTAATTATTTATTTATTTTTAAAACCGAATACGAATTGTGAATTGTAATTATACGCTGACCGGAACCCTGAGGCACCAAGATGACCCATTTATATTTTCTTTTACTTTAATTGTCAGTGAAACTGACATCCAATCATTGATCGGGTATTGTATGTATACTCATCTTTTTTTATATTTTTAATATCGACTGACGCTTTGGACCTTTCTCTAACTTCTCCATAACCTCCTTACGTCTGTTGTACTCCATGAAAGCTGACCGAAATTATGCGTAAATATGTTTTCGCTATTCTTTACGAGATTTCATTCATACGGTACGACTAACCATACCAAAATATTTAATTTGTGTTATAAGATACGCAATAATACTAAATAGTAAATCCCGTTATATGTTTATAAGGTCAAAATTCTCATATTTCGCAATTAAAGAATTTCTAATTTCTCTCTCTCTCTCTCTCTCTCTCTCTCTCTCTCTCTCTCTCTTTAATTCATAGTCACCATTAACATATGTAAATACATTCATATAGCAGAGCGTCATTGTCTGTCGACCATGATTTCCGTTATCCACGCGTCTTAATTTATTATTAAAGTAAAAAAATCAGAAACTGTTTTATTTCGATATCGCAATATCGCGTCGCTTTCATTACTCTGACATTTTATTAGTGAACATGATAAAAACGGTCATTCGATAGTTATACGACTATTCCAGATATAAGTTGATTTAACCTAAAGAGTATATTCAGCAGGTGGTCTTGTTGGCTGGCGTTGTTCGTCCGTAAAAGTTAATTTCCTTCTAATAACCCGATGCATTGTTAAATAGAGTGTGCATAATGTTTATAAGATGTTAAGATAACGTTGAAAAATTATATTACTCAATATGGGCTACCGTTAATGAAATACCTAAACTTACTTACCAATATATTTTTTAACTTTTTTTTCAGATCCTGAAGGTATGTCCTTCAATGATTTGAAACCACTCTACAAGGAATTCCTGCTGAAACTAGCAGCAACTTTGACCCAGGATGAATTATACCAGAGATCAGCGAGCATAATGAGGCGTAGAAGACGACCTCAAAGACGACGCTCTACCAGACGTTCTTGCCTTCTGGGACGTGCGATCAAGAGATCGGTATCGAGATTAAAGGGCGGACCCACAGAATTTACTTCTGTTATATTTCCCGCGAGAAGACTGAATGATAGTTTCGGCAGCAGCTCATCGTGCGACGCCAAAAATAACCACAGGAATCGTGTCCTAGGAAGTAGACTAGGCAGAAGACGATCGTCGTGGAGAAGGATGAAGGCTGGCATAGGACAAACTACGTCAGAGGATAGCGATACGTGTAGGTTGCGATATGAAAATTAATGAATTAAATTATTAGGATGTATGTGTATATAAATGGTTGTAATGTATTTTAATTTATTGTCCAGGTAAGAGACTCGGTCGAGGTGTTGCTGCGAATAGGAGTAGCAGTGGGTACGTCAGCTGTAGCGAGTGTAGTTACGACTCAGAGTCTTGTACTTGCGTGTCAGCTGATAAATGTTACTGTTCCTTGTCGAGGAGGATACCAGTGCCTCCTGCGCCAGGAAACACAACGGTTTGCGCCTGCGACACGGACAGCTGCTCTGAGAGCAACAAGTGTTACTGTGCTAGAAGTTCTGCTCAACCCAGTATCCTGGAGCAGCTTCGACAGAGAGGCATTGTACCTTCAGAAAGTACACTTAGTAGAGGTGGTAGTCCTGAGAGAGTTAAAACTTCTAAAACGAATAGAAGTCTTGCATCCTCCAGGAGTCTAGAGTTCCTAAAGGTACGTCTTAATCTATCAGTAAATTAAAGTCGTTTCAATTGGATGGATTGTATAAAATTAATTTTACAGGTCCGACCATCACCAACTCCTGGAAGTTCAGATAATCTTGCATTGGATTATGACTTGTTTAGTCCTGGTAAAGCTTCACAGAAATCATCAAGTAGCGAGAAGGTTCTTGTTGTTAGTGCTAGGGATCCTCAGGGTAGGTTAGTGTATGTAGGAGGTGCTGAAAGAGCCAAGAGACCTTCCCTAAATGGTTCTAATAGATCAGTTGGACATCACGAAGCTCTTTCGATAAAGAAAAGTGCAGAGATTGCTGCAGTCTTTGGACTAAACTCTGGCATGAGTTGCAGACGAGCTGGTAGCATTTCCAGTGTCAGAAGTTCAATAAGTCTAGAAGCTGGTTTAGGATATTTACCTTGACAAAGGTATCACAGCTTTCAATACAACTATATTAATTTAGAATTACTTTAGTCTTAAAGTCAATCCTCGTGCAATGCAATATATTGTTTATTGAAACAAAAATATACCGTAATGCACGTGTTACAAAGATCATTGTAGTGATCTAGTTATGTATTAATTTTTAACTCAAATTTTGTTGTTGACTTGACAAAGCTTGCCATTACTTGATTAAGTATTAAGAGGCATTAAGAAGCAAGGAATTACAATTAGGATAACATTACTTTAAGAGGTAACTTATTGATATGTATTCATCACTAGAGTCTAAAATTGTGTCAAACAATTTGTTTCCTTATCTTTGGCTGAAGGCATTCACAATATCGATTAAAGATGCAGAACTTTAGTAGAAACGTCATTACCTTGACGAAGCGCTATTCTCTGTGTATCTAAGATCTGTAGCCAAAAATGTAGTGAAGATTTCGTTTGTTTGTCAGTATTTGATACTCATAGATCATTCATTTTATTGCCTGATTTTATTACATGCATATTAATGACTCTCCTACTACACTGGACCTGATAGCTTAATAAATGAAATATACTAGGGGCAGTGCAATATTTACGGGCCGCTATGCAAAAGGCTTTGTAAAAATAAAGCTTTATAATTTAAGTGACGCTAAGTGTAAGTTTCTTATTAGTACATTTATTTACAGATATAGTCTCACATATATAAATTTTACACTGATTATATTATATTTACGACGCGTCATGTGTCGTTGATAAAGTCTTGATCCATTTTTTGGAAATGATCATGATATTTTTTTGGTACCTCTACCTCTTTCAAATTGTCCAATCCAATTTCTTCTTCAGTTCTGGAAGGAATAAGATTAACGCATAATGAAACTTGAAAATCCTTTCATAGAAGTAGAACTAATAGAAATAAAATACGAACCGTATTAATATGTCAACAACATTTTCACAAGCTAGTAAAACATTCTTGTCCTTTTCCCATTTATGAAATTCTCTCAGTATTACATAAGCATTTTTATCTCTGAGTATTTCACGACCTCTCCGCGTTACGCATAGCTGTGCTAAGGCCTCCAGAAGCATAAGTCTGAAGTGAATAATATTTTAGTTACTTTCAGGATTCAATTTTTTAATCGCGTTGCATACCTTATGTCAGAATCACGTTCCCGTTCCTTATTTTCTGGCAGGAATTGTAAATCTACAGGTAGTTTGTCTTGTTCCTCTTCATCAAACTCTTCAGGTCCAGCAAGAGGCAGTAATAAATGTGATAAAATGTCAATCTTATCACTGAGTAGCCACTCGTGATATTCCTCATCAAAGCAACAATTTTTTAATGTTCCCACTATACCACCGCGTCTTACTATACTCTCTGCATATTCTGTGAATGGAAGTAACCTCTGGATTGCACAACGTTCTTTATCCATTAAATATCTAAAAACACACATTATAATTAGTTTTTAATTGAGAACAAATTAGTAGAAAAGAATTAGTCAATGTACTTTCTCACTGAGGGTGACTGAGAGAGATTGCTGAAGACTGGTCCCAAGTAATGAAGATTAGCACCTTTATTGTTATATTTTTGTGCAGTAAATGCTGCAACTAAAGCATCCCAAGTGTAATTACTTTTTTCAATCAGGTGGATGATTCTATCGACAAGACCATGAGAACGTGACATATTAGACATAATCATACAAAAAGGATCTGCCAATGTACTCTCCTTATCCATGATATACCTGCAGTCACATGTATGATTATACATAATATCAATTTCTAAAACTATACAGTATAATTATATAGAACACACTATATTAATACAGCATCCTTACCTGAGGCTAACATCTATTAAGTTATCGCTAGGCTTCTCATTAACACTTGGTTTTGAAGTTTCTGATATAACTAACAAAGCACTGGCTCCTGGTTCATCAGCAGATATATTCACCAACGATAATGCTGCATCTTTAGCTACTGCAACAACACTATCTTGCGCAAGTAGAACCAATTGACGAAGAATTTCTGGTATTCCTAATAATATTTCTCTTCCTTCGAGACTACCAGTAGTACCTATAAATAATACATTTATATTCATAAATTAGTGCAAATATTGTAAACAATATAATTATTACTATTCTTCAATGTGCTACTTACTTAGAACATGTTGTAATGCAACGGCCTTTAAGTCTAAACGAGTTTTTAAATCCAAAAATTGAGATATTTCCTTCAAAGGTTCCATAATGTTGAAAACGTTTTGTGTATCTTATTAGAAACACGTGCACTCCGATTTATCAACCTCACTGTAGATAGCTAATGTGTGTGATACTCTTTTTTTGTTAAAATAAAATTTGTAGCTCTGCTTCTTTAATAAATTAGATATCTACTAGGGATGAATAGGGAGATGGCTAATAAGCCGATTTTCATGGTCCAAGTTTTATTTCGACGTCGACGCGCTACTTGAGCAGAGATGTGACGTGTGCGACAACATTCGATATAGTTCAGAAATCTGGATATAGAGGGTATACGTTCTAGCAATGTCAAAACCTGCGATTATTCAAACGATAAATATAGGATGTTTAATCGAAGACATTATTAAAAGGGGATTCAGTTTATAAAAGGACAATTTTAAGAGAATAGATAGACGAGGACTGTTCAATAAGTCCATGACTTCTTGAAAGATGGTACTCTTATCGTAAATATGTGACTACTCTAAGAGAATACCATCTAATATCAGTGCGTATACAAAGTTTCAAGTCAGTACGTTGGTCATACAATTTTTTAGTCATTTGAAATTAATTTTTCATTGTTAAAACAAAACCATGGAAAAAAGCGAGTTTCGCGTGCTTATTAAACATTATTTTCTACGAGGAAAATCAATCAAAGAAACTGAAGAAAAGCTCGCAAAATATTATAAGGAGTCTGCTCTATCGCATGGCATGATTCATAAGTGGTTCACTGAATTTCGTTGCGGCCGTATTAGCACAGGTGATACTTACTGAGCGTCCTGGCCGTCCAAAAGAGGTAACTTCTCAAGAAATTATTGATAAAATCTACGACATTGTACTCAACGATCGTCGATTGAAAGTGCGTGAGATTAGTGAGACTGTAAACATTTCAGTAGCAAATCATTTCAAATCTTAAAGCAGTAGGTATAGATGTACAATCACGAGCTTGCACCTATACATACTTATATTTTTAAATAATATGATGCAAAAATTAAATATACACATATTTAACATAAAAATATGTAATGATACCTTCATATCAAAATGCATGTGTACATAATAGATGACGAAAATTAAACGAAAAAAATCTCCAAACATGGAATATTACGATTACTAGATCATATATATATAATAACAGTAAAACTATATTTAAGTTTTTAAAGATAGTTGTTTTTTTTCCTATCAGATGGCGCCAGTATTCTATGCGATTCGCATTACATTTGTCAGATGGCGCTATGTGAAAACTCTAAGTCACTAGCAGCCAACTTCAGTACGGAGTCGTATACTCCAGTTTACCCCATTCGAAGAAGGAACCCGACCAGTTCATGTCAGGAGGCTTACCTACCATAATCCTAGGAATACACAAGTATCACTTGTAGGTAATGGTAAACCGGTGAATCTATGGCAGGAGTCTATGTTGTCATGGAGTTTCTTAGTTATATTTTTCGTCTCCTCAGTTATTGGACTTAAAAATCAAATCTTGAATGACCAGAATTAGGAACCTGGATTTGTGAGTTTTTTTGTCGAGTATGGCTAAGTTCGACAATTAAGCTGTATTTAACGCCGTTAGTATCAACTGAGTATTTCAGTTTTCTTCACCTTTGCATGAATTTGCATTTCCAAGTAATTTGCAGGACTATTCCTCAGATGTCGCTCCGACAACTGACAGCACGACGCGTTGCATTATTACTAATTGTTACTTAAGCACGTGCTCGTGTAACCTATAATTCCGGTATCTGTCTAGAGACTGTTTACGTATTTTGTTTTAGGATTATTGAAAATGACTGAGGCACAAGAAACAGTTACACGAATGGAAGATCTGTTAAATAGCAAGTCATTAGTGGAAGGTAAAGAACCAATAGTAGATACTGGGCATCAAAAATCCAAGAAAGCTGAGAAAAAGAAGCCAGCTATAATAACTGTTATAAAAGGAAAACCGAAATCTGGTAGAATTTGGAAAGAACAGAAAACAAGGTAAATATTTAGATATTTTTGTACATATCGTTTAAACGTATATCAAATATATATGTAAATATAAAGTATATAGTCTCAATCTAATAACATTGTAGATTTTCATCTATTATTAAAACTCGAGGAATCCGGCAATCTTTTGAGAAGAAACAAAAGTTACGAGAAGACCTGAAGAGAGTGAAAGATATGTCGAGAGCAATAATAGAACAAAAAAAAGCAGAAAAGGAAGCCAAAAAGCAACGCAGGATAGAAAATTTAAAACGTGCAGAAGAAAATCGTAAAAAGAGTGAAGTTGTTCAAGTTGTAAGTATTTCATTACATCTATGCATTACGATGTGATATATTTATCTAACAAAAGTTCCAATCAAATAAATATCTATTCCTTTCAGATAAGAAATACTGCTAAGATAAAAAGAATGAAAAAGAAACAGTTGCGAATGATTGAAAAGCGAGATACCAATAATATGTAACAAAGTCCTGTATTATTGTAAAGGCATATGTAAATTTTTTTTAAATAAAAAAATACTTGTATGATCATAATTATTGGAATACATTACTCATACTTCAAAAAAACTAGTCTTAATTGCTAAAACATAATTTGCATTCAATGAATAATTCATAGTTAAATTATAAGTAACAATATATTTGATTCAGGCATGATCTCTTTAAGAATTATGGTTAATATGTTTAGCAACAAATTGTTTGAGTTCAGTCTGAAGATTGTAGTCTACACGATTGGTCCACTAAAACAAAATCATATTCTCAATTTATTTTGTCATTGATCGAATTATATAATATAGTGAAGCATAACATTTATTCACCATTGCTCGGACCCATTTCGGTAAATAAGCTTGAGTTGAGTTAGACAAAAATCTATATTAAAACACAACATTGAAATGAAACAGTTTGCAACATTTGCATAATAAGAAGAAAGTGCTTACCGTTCATCAACCATCAAGACTATACCCCAATCATTTTTGTGTCTGATGCATCGTCCTAATGCTTGATTTAACGCTCTGAATGCTTGAACAGCATACCACTCTCCGCCTTTTAATAACCCTTTAGAGTGATTAAGATCATTGTATGTAAACTTCATATCTATCATAGGATCCCTTCTGACAGCATAGGGTATACCAATCTATATATGAAGTAATATATTGCATTAACAATAATTTTCATATTTTAACCGTATCCCGTTTAAAAATGACACATTGCAATAATACGAACGGCTACAACGCAGCGAGCTTCATTGTCACTGAAGTCAATTCCTTCAGCAACTTTACCACGAAAAACTGCGAGTAGAAGGGCTCCATTCACCCCATTTAGTGGTGCCGTTGCAGTATCTTTAATAAACTCTTTGTATTCCCTCATGACAGATTCCAATTCAGAGTTAAAGCGTGGCTCAAGAAAAATCAGTTTCACCTGCTTCATCTTGTCCCAGTGTCCGTTTTCCTTCCAACGATTCACCTGCTTATTCATCATATTGTACGATGAGAAGAAGCACAGGATACCATGTGGTACGGCTTGACAGACATCTAAAAGAACCCTTCCTAGTTCGTCCTAAAAAATTTACTAGATAAATATTACTTAAAATTAAAACTATCTTTTGTGTTAATTGAACGTAGAATGTACCTGGAACGTCCAAGAGTTCACATTTGTGTAGTTGGCTTTAAGAACAACGTCAGTTGGTCCTTTACTGATTCCTCTGATGTAGACTTGGTTACTGGATATCACATGATTACTATTTAATACATGAGTGAATTTAATGCCTAATTCACTTTGGAATGAACTTGTTGGCGCCAGGGTACCTGAGGCTAAGATAACTGATCTTGATAAATTGGCTAGCTGTCTAAACGTCACAGCGGAGTTCATGCACGTGAACTGTAGTGTTCTCACACGCTTCATTCTAACTCTTACGGTGGACATCCAAACATTTGCTTCGGCCTATTAAGAAATATATATATTTACTAATAACAACAAAAATGATTTCACCTGAATAAAACAATTAATTATCATTACCTCTGTATCGTCCTTGACACTGGTTTCTGTAATGCAGGCTCTATAATCAGAACTGAATGCTTGCGAATTGATCATCTGCAGTGCAAGGCACAATTGCTCGAGTAATCTCTTAGTATGAAATCCAATTACAGGACGATAAAAATTCTGTTTGACCTCTTCTTTAGAAGAATTGAAGTCCATAATGGCAGCTTTGGCAGCCGTAAGAAAAGACGGAAAATAATCATTGCTCAAGCCATGCATATCAAATAGTTCAATTAGTTCTTTGCTAGTCCAGGCTGCACTACTTTCATCATTAGTATTTTCATTCTATAAAGTTTAAATGCTAATATTAATTATATCCAAGTATCAGTTTTTTTTTATACGACTTGAGCAGATACTCACGACTCTGTTGAGCTTCATGGATCTCATGAAGCTACAAAGTTTAGTAAAAAAGTTATGAATTTCTATATAGTAGCCCATGTCCTTTTTTCTGGAGAGGGAATCGCATTCCTGCGCGGCATTCCTTAGGTGATCCTCCTTGAAGGAAAAGCTACCGACTTCCCTTGATATATCTTCGATATTATGAGCCTCGTCCAGGATGATGATGGCGCCATCGAGTTTAATTTGCATCTAAAAAATCCGTTATCGCTGATTAGTCTCACTGCTGTAGATTCCATAAATTATTATTATAACAATTTTAACTTACGCTATCACGAATTTCAGGATCGATCAGATAATTGTAAGGACAGAAAATGATCTCTGCTGAAGCCATTAAATTCCTGGCTGCGAAATAAGGGCAAGCAGAATTTGCTTTACCTAGATCAACTAGGTCTTCTATATCCCATGGGGTTTCAAAATTATGAGATTCAAGAGAGTCAAAAGTCCCAATAGTTCTTTTATTGTTATCTGTGTAAAATGGACAGCCCCTTTTCTGTCGATTATAAAAAATGATTTGGCAGATTATTCAATAATAACAATAACCATAACGATAGTCAATCATTAGTTCCTAAGATTACAAACCTTCAAAGGATCCAGCAGATCATTGCACAGATCGGTTTTGTTTCTGTCTGTATTCTGAATACAAGTGAATTCGCGACTACTGAGAATAGTCATCCTGGGATTACAAAAAATATTGATAATACTCATTGAATTTTGCTTTCAAATTTTCAAACAAACTTCACTCACCGTTTGTCCCTGTAGGCCGTCTTCTTCAATTCGCTCACAACTTGCCCAATTTGCCTATGGGTTCTAGAACCGTAATACACTTTTGGCACCGTGAGAGATTTGCTAAAATAATTTGCAGAATGGCAACGAAAGTTCGCAACGATGGAAATATTATTTGCGTTATGTATAAATATATTAATACCTAAATTCATTATCCTTCGTGGATGAAGTTGATTCGCAACTACTGATGGGGTCTGGCTCGTACCATCTGGCGCTCAATGGAGCCTCCTTGAAAAACATACTAGAACAGGAGTCCTGAGTATTCACCGGTTCATCTGAAGACAGACGTAACATCCCTTCTTAGTAACAAGAAAAGGGGTAGATAGTCCGCCAGGCCGTTACAAAAGCAAAGTAAAGCAAAGTAAAGAAAAATAACGACACAAACAGAAGCAGAGTTTTAGCGATCCGTTTACAAATAATAATCAAGAAACCGGTGTTGGCTTTACTGATAGAAAGAAAAAGGAAAATCATATTTCGATCCTAAAGTCTAAGTGGTGCAGACGTCAAAACATGCTCAATGAAAGGACAAATCCATTGAGCGGGATCAATAGAAGGGCCTAATCCTGAAAAAGAGAGGTCACGTAGCTAGACTGAGCCGGCGGGGTCTGTGTTCATTCGAAAGGACCTTCGGAGGATGAAGAATGAGGAGCGCTTAATGGGTTGGCTATCCCGATTTTCGAAGTCAGAGAAACCGAAATGATCTTTCAACGAGGACGAAACGGCTGGTTGGGTGTCCTTTGTGCCTGCATTGATCCCTAATCGGCTTTTAACGTGAAGTTAAGGACCTCGACTTTAGGCAAGATCCTTGAAGTCGAAAAAAAGCAAACAAATATATATATATATAAATCGGTAGAAGAAAGGCTTAAGGTAACGGGATATAGCCGAAACAAAAATGTATAGTAATAGTATTTTCAAAAAAAAAAAAGATAACTCACGAAGTTCGAAAAAATGAACACCAATGAAATACTCCGAATAAATATTACGCGTCAATTATTTTTTTTGGTAAAATTGGCGAACATTAAACAAAAAATAATAAAAGCGTCGAAAAAAAGAGAACAGCGAGGACAGGGAAATAAAAACAGGACGACTTTCATTCGCGCAACCGTTCGCTAATATTCACGCGTATTCCGTTCAAATATTCATCGAAACTAAATCCTGTTTTCGATAGATTCCACGAGAACCCGTTTCGATGTTTCCCGCAGGCTTTGGTATGTGTTGACGGTAAATATTCTTCAAAGAAATAAAACATTACGTGCAAAGCCCAAAGCGGTCTATCGGTAGCCAATACATTGTGACGTGTACGATAAAGGCGATAGTTGGGCGAGATCGAAAGTGAAAGAGATGAAAAGGATGAGTTCGAATAAGAAGCCAAAATTAAACCAATCCGCAAGGGATGGGAATCCTATTTTAATTAAGTTCTCCGCTAGGCCAGGCTTTACTTCCAATTTGATTTGAGGATCGCAATCATGGTGAGCACTTTGGTCTGACAATCGAATACGTAACCATGGACGAGGTCGAAAGGGGGTTGAAGGATTAATCTATCCACGCAGCAGCAACCCTCGAGAGGGTTCTGGGACCCTCGGAGGCATCAAAATGGTTTTGCCGTTCGGGGGGGTAAAAATTTGTTAAAAGAAGCGTAAAGAGTTGCGCGAGGGATGATGTGTAATCGTGGAGGGTTATACGTACGATTCTATGAGGGGGTGGAGGGGTGGGCGAGGGGTGGTTGAGCCACGAGCGAAAAAAGAAATGTCTGACGCACCCAAGAGCTACCCCGCTGGCAATGTCAAGTTTGGCTTAGGGATGTAAAAATTTAGGGATGGTACGAGCGGGGGTCTCATTGGCGGAGGGTGGTCGACCCTGCTGAGATCCTGGAGGATTCGGGAAGAATGGGGGAATGTCGATTGGCCCACGGCTAAAGGACCCTAAGACAGTCGAAGGGACAGAACCAATAGGAGTACGGACTTCGAGGGTGCCGTTGCTAGGCAACCAAACACACCCAACACCCCAGGGTAGAGGACTCTACGGAGGCTACGGTCGGCTGTACACTCCCTATCGAAACCTATCTCACCCTTGAGAATATATCTCTCGTAATCGATGTTAAACCGTGTACAGGTACTGTATAAAAATATTTAATTAATTTTTTTACCTTATCCCTTCCTAGCTCACTATACATTTGGCTATTACGTTCTATAAATTAAAAAAAGGCTGAATTTCATTATCACGGATCAATGGCTGTATTGAAAATCAGTAATAGGGAGCATTCGGTATTGCATTCGGATGCTGCGAACGACAACTGATACGACGATAATTGATAACGAGTATTATCGCGTGTCAAAGCTCACATTTTATTACTTTTTTTCAATCCTCGATACTTCCTTCTTTATTTATCCCTTCTCGGATGACAAGCCGATCTTCATACGCTAATTAGATCTATCGCCGTCATGCGTGCAATTAGCCTCGTGCCCGTACGGAGTTTCATTAATACGACTGGCCGTGGTTATTTTCGTATCGCCGCGTAACGAACAGCTGCCTGTACTGAATGTTAGAGCCGCCATGTCAATACGCCATTTGGCGAATTGCATCTAGCTCTGCAATTGATGCCACGCGGATAATCATACAATGACTGTCCACTGTCTCGAGACACGCAGCTGCCAAACGGAATAGGCCTGTAGCATTAAGAATAGCCTGTAGAGTGAACTAATATGAACTATATGAAATAGCCTGGGGGGTTCGGTGGAACTTACGAAGACACGTGTTTCTTATGACATCAATAAAATTACCGACACCCGGTATACCGCGATTACGATAAAAAATTTATGAAACTTTGCAAACATACGAGTCTATACGACGTAAGGTACAATTAATTTGGGCGATTGTCATTGTCACTGGAAATTGGAACTAATTGCTTTGGGTTTCCCAAAGCCTTGCGGTTAAACGGCCAAGTAGCGGCTACTTAAGACAAAGTCCGAAAATTTCAAGTATACTTTAATTAATCCCTCAGTAATTTCCGAAAGTAAAACTTCCTACAACAGTACTACAAAGTTACGTTGAATCGGACATCGACCGCAATACGTATAACGCATTTGAGAAAGTAGCGTTACCCAGCATGAATTTTCGACCCTTGACGAAAACTACGTATTACCTTCGAAGTGCTAGAATAAACGAAAAAAAAAAAAGACCAACCGACCCATTCTTTGTCTCCAATAAACCACGGCTAATAGCAATCACAAATATATGAATACCAAAAATCGTTCGATTATCTGTCAAACAGAGCAGGCAGATAAAAAAAGGGTATATAAAGGATTTTAAAAAAAATGTATCTATAACACATTCAAATTTTCCCAGCTCTTCACCAGTTTGGAAAATATTTGCCGGGAGCGGAACAAGCACGCTCCAAATAAACAACACGTGGCTCCCGTGCGAACGTATCCGCGATACACACAATAAACATCCAAGCGCGTATACGTCTATACAGGGTGTACCGGGTCGTATGAATATCCCTCAATGAATTCCTGGCGCGAAATTGTGCAATGAAAAAGAAAAAGGAGCAATAATCCGCAGCACGTACGATTTCCTTTTGTGATTTTGAGTAAGCGATAAAATAACGTCAAAACTGACGATAATTATTATCGGGACATTGGCTAACTCGTAAATAGACAACTTCGTGCATAGATGCGCATATGAGAAATCTGGCTAGGCGAGTACGTATACGACGTACGCATATAGCCAGTACTCCCGTACATGGAGTCCACGTAGACCGGGAGGGTTAATGCCGGGGAATGCAGCTAATGAAGTTTACGAAGACACTTAACGGAGTTGCGAGTGGGGGGGGGAGGGGGTGGCACGGCGGTGAGTGCAGTGCACGTTAATGTACAAGAAGAAAGGACGGCTAGGGTTGTTCCTTTAGGGGATGCCCTTCGAAGAGGAGCATCGCGACAGAGCACTTGGTCGCTTCCAAGGTTAATTACCGATTGCAAAAGCCGAGGACGAAAAGGGGCGAGTGAGGTCTTCTGCTGAAATCAGATGTCAGCGTCGAGTGATACTGGCGGAGGGTAGAGGCGACGAAGGGAGGAAGGAGACACGGAGAGGAAATAAAGAAAAGGAAAAAAAAAAAAAAAATATGGTGGTGCCACCATTATACATGAACCTCGGCAGGGTGTTATTGACATGGTGGTGTCGGGGCGGCCATCTTGGCCTGCCGGCACCCCGGCTACGTCCTTGCTCCCCTTCGTGTGACATTCAGTGAATCTAACCTAACCTGGCCTGGCCGCCCTAGCCACCCTTCGAACCAACCCCCGGAGCTACGTGCTCCGAGGGTCCCGGGGGTTGCTTGTCGTCATGGCGACCAACCGTTGCCCAACCCCTGAGCCAAACACGAATTCGTGTCCTATGTACGATACCCCCCCTTCACCCCTCTTGTTGTACACTCTTCTATATACGCCTACCTATAATACGTATAGAACGTAATATAGTATGTATACTTTATTGTATACATATATGTATTTATCTTGTCTATATAGGATTAGTTATTTTCATGGCACTTTATTCCTCCTATCACTGTCTATTGTCGAGAAGCTATTTTAAGGCTTGCGAAATATTGAAATATTTTAAACGTCACTCGCGCTGCGAGCGAAGTCGAACGATAAACGCGAGCGCCGTTTGAGCGACGTGGCAGATGCTGGTAAAATAAATCTAATAACCTCTCATATTTTTATGCTCAAATGAATTACAATGTGTTGCGCAACATTTACTACGCGCTCTAAGGACTTGGAATATCGAAGACGGACAATGGCTTCAGAATACCGTGAATTTAGGAGAATTATTATACCTTTAGTCGGAATACCTGAACAACGTATCACGTAAGACGTACGGATATATCCGTGGAGAAGAAAGTTCCTGGGGGAGAAAGCGTTACTTGTGTCTAGAAAAAAAAAAGTATGTAAAGTAATAAATAAGACTTACCGCCTTCTTCTTCGCAATCGGAAGTCAGCTTCTTCTCCGCTACTTCTTCTGAAATGAAAATAATCGTCTTTAGCGACATAATATGTAACCGTAATGATTGTTATTGTTGAATAATTCGCTTTTGTAAACGATAAATTTATATCGTAAAATGACCACAGGGTATATCCTTGAATTTATAGATAAGCTGGACGTGAAATATCTATTAGTAAGTATAACGTGATTTACGTGGCGATATGGCGGATCGACAGTTCTGGGTAGGTCACCCGGTATAATTTTATACACGGATAGAGTTCAGTGAAAAGATCTTATATGTTAAAATAGGCATTATATCATGAGTTTGTATTATGAAAGTTCGAATTACGTGCCTGTCAGCGGCCTAATAACTGCTTTGAGGGCCTCAGGCCCATCTGATACGGGAAAGGGCCTGTTTACAATGTGCGTATTTAATAGTAAATCGTAATGCGCGAGTGCTCGCGTAGTCGGGTCACATATGTATATGGAGTGAGAATGTGAAACGAGAAGGGTATAGTGCAGGAGCAAGAGAGTTAGGAATTGCGTTAAGAAAAAGAAAGATGGAAGATCCAGTAGTCGTGCATAAAGCCGCGAAGCCTTCTGCCTAAGGAGCCGCAAGGCCCCTCAAAGGTACCGACAGAGTGAGTCCCTTCAAGAAAGCCGACGAACGCGGCGTTTATGAAAGTCCGAAGCAAAAAAGAAGCAATAAAAACATGCGATATTTAAAAATATTATTTTCCTGTCGATTATCGGACATACATAGTATTGAATGTACACTGTATAGAGATAGGGGTAAGTTTTCTGTAAAAATGTTATTTCGGGAGTTTATTAAAAAAAATGGAGACTTAACTGAACTCTTCATTTCATTCATCACTGCGTGCTGAACGTGAAGAAAAATGAGGCTTTGGTTTTGGGCATAGTAAAAAAAAAGGGAAAAAACTGGAAAAATGAATCCATCGATTTATTGTATGGCAAAAATGCATATATTTGGATCGCTGATAGATCATTTCACGTGATCTAGCCAAATTTTACTGTTTTCAGTAAGGGAAGAGGTGAAAGGTCAATTTTTATGGAGTTTCTGCGATAACCGCACACGTTTCACATAAAATGGGTTGGTACCCGGTGGTAGCCACAATAAGGGTTGGAAATACCGAATTGAATCCCCACCGGGGCGGCTATGGATCCGAGGGATATTATCCCTCGGCGGATCTGTGTAATGAAATGGTTTCGGCACCCTCGTGGTTATCATCCCCTAGAATAATACTCGAGAGCGCGGACCGCGGGCTCAGCGAGCCCCATTCTCCATGGAGCATCAAGCCCATCCCTTATAGCGAATGCCAAAGAGGAAGGACAAAGAAGCCACCCCTATTTGCGGTATCAATGTCGTCATCGTCATCACTATATTTTCAACGTCATGGCACCGTTAGTCATCGGTATCATCAACGGATCCACGTAATTGCTTCATCCCTTGGGACTTGCTTAGCAACCCCGTATCAAAACCCTCCGAGAGTAGAATCTCGTGTAAGGGCTGATAGATAGTGGATAAGAGCTGTGATAACAAGCGCCCTGCGTAAGGTACTAAAAAAAAAAAAGAAAAAAGGAGAAGGGTTGAAAATTGGTAAATTTTTGAAAAATCAGTTAATCGGGGTAGGTACAGGCTGTTTAAAAATTTTCACACGGTTTCTGAACGATATTCGCAAATTCTCAACTTTTTATCTTATTCTTCGACAGGTTACGTAAGGTAGTCGATGAGAGGTGAAAGGAGAAGGGGAAGGAAAAAAAAATAAACGTATCCCAAGAGAAAAACGATCCAGCGGCACGTGCACGCGGTTAAAAGGTTCCGCTCAGAAGTTTTTGACGTGGGCCAGAATTGAAAAGCGGAACCGGCTGTCGAGATACGAATCTGACCAATCGTGAGACCGCATAATGGCCACTTATTCATCCATCCAATGAGTCCTCCTCCACGACAACAAAGCCGGAAATTAGTCAGCTTCGTTATGCTTATTAATTGACTGACGTTTCCGTGATATTATTGTACCCGGGTGAATCGAAAGTTGAGGCTCTCTTCGTAACCCTTGAACCTACCGATCTACAGGTCGTTTCAAAGCAAAGGTTCAAAAAGAAAAATTAAATCCTGCCCACGTGATAAATTGCCAAGAAGCCCTTAAGCATTTGTATGGAGAAGAAATCGAGGTTCTACGCAGACAATGTTTTTTATATGAATTTTACACAATAATATCCGTCTGACTGTAGGATGCCACGTGGAGGGCACATATAAAGGGTGTAAAAAAAAAGGGGGTAAGGGATGCGTGAATACCCACGAAAACTGCATAGGAGCGCGTCTCAAGGGTTCTCTCTCATTGGGTTTTCTCCCTGCGCTTCGTCCATCGCCGCATCCGCGTACCTATTCAGAATACGTTTCTTTCTTTTCCTTTTTTCTTATTCCGCCCTTTCTTTCCTCTTTTTCTTTTTTATTCGTTCTACTTGTAATTATTATACTTGAAGCCTCTAATTACTGGCTCGTGTACCGCGCTTGTGGTACGCCTATCGCTGGAGCTAGGGAAAATAGCTGGGGAGAGAATACAGTGGGTATTATAAGGCGATCCGTAGAAAATGGAGCGAGCATCGGGCTGAAGGTAGAAAGGCCGGCGAAATTGGAAGAAAGGAAAAAAAATATACTGCACAGAAATAAGGAGTAGAGGAGATATTGAAATACAGGAAATATACATGTTTCGGTACTGTCTATAGATATTCATTAACTATTTGTACTTTTTCTTTTGTACCAAAAAAAAAAAATCGTAAACGAAATTTAGTCCATTAGTTATATCTCACGATGCGTACTTTTGGCAACGTTTAAAAATTGTTTTTATCTAAAAAAAAAAAGAAGGCAAAAATTCCAATTCAGTATAACAACGTTACTTGGGGTTTGATTTTGTTCAAAGTTCTTTTTTTCCCTCAATCTTTCTTTTCAGTTTATCCCTCATTTTTTACCTAGGTCCACCGACTGCTTTTTATGAAAAGGAAAGACCCGAGGGTAGAGAGAAGCGTCGCGATGGCGGCGTCGCCGTAGCCAACGCTGATTGGCTGCCAGTAAGGGAGCGCGTTTTTAGCCACCCTTCGGATCTGCCCTCATTGTCATTTTAATTTCAACCGCCCCCCCCCCTCTCAAGGCAGGCACAGGGGTGAAATTCTCGGCACCGTACCTACCTACGCACCCTTATCGAAGATTGGCTTGACGACGCAGAAACTGCTTACGTTTTTTTTTTCCGGGTCTTTCAAAAACAACAAAATCATACTGGCAGTTTACATGATATAACTAATTAATACTGTTTAGACTGTTTGTCAATGAATCGAATGCTTTCGCGGGATAATGGTTTATAAAGCTTTAAAAAGTGTTCAAATATGCGATCGTCTGAGGATTGTATACTTTAAAATATGAAGTTCAATAGAAAGTGAGTTAAAGCCAAAAGTAAATATCGTAGAGTCGCGATGAGCGTTAACGTCATTCTTCCGTGCACGGCAGAAGCAAAAAGCCCCTGGGCTGTATGTGACAGCCATTTTAATTCTGACCCCCTCCCCCCGAGGGCCTATGATTTTCATTCCCCGTGATGGAACATCAGCTTTCATCCCTCTTCGGCGCTTTCACAGGCCTCTCTTGTGTCCCTATCTCACTCTCGTTAGGGATATATGCTGCTACCTACTTGCTCCTATGCTCTTGGACTCACCCTATGTCTCTGCCTTGCGAATGGCGGCACTCGTTATCTCGCTTCTCGTATCTCCAATCGAATAAAAGCCCCACATAACCGACGGCATTTAATTTCGGGATAAGCCACGATAACTTTCGGGGTACATGTCTTTTCAGACTAAGCTCTGGGCTCGGGCTTAGTTGTCATTAAGGGAAACATGGCGTCGGCAAAATTTCCGGCAGAAATCTGACAACGTTAATCCAGTACATTAAAGTGCACCACACAAATCTCCTACCGCTACGAAAAATCGGTGAAAAGCTCTAAAAGTTCGAAATTTTTAAAGATTTTCCCTTTATAATTATATTTTCCATAAAAAATGAAAATTATTTCAAATTTTCACCGTAGCTTGAGTATACATATAATTGTGTCTATACGAGTAAGAGAAAGAGATTAAGAGTGCCAAAGGCTGCCACGTAAAATGGCACCTAATAATGGGCTGGTAGAAAAATTGGTCGACGTGCTTCGTATAGCACGGTACCATCTTCCCTTCTTATTACTCAGCTGCGAGAGCAGCCACCCCCTCCGGGTTTGTGATATATACATAAGGGAGATGGCTCGGTAGGAGTAACCACCCTCTTTTGAACCGTCCTTTAGCCCGGAGAGAGTAGAGCACACTGCACTCACTCACCGGGGGCGTCTAATAATGTCGCCAGCCAGGCGTTCTACGTTCCCAGCTTCCACGCCATTCCCGAGAACCAACCCCTAGAGCCTGACGCTACTGACGTCGCCGAGGCCACCGAGGACGCTACCCACCACCGTCGCACCCCGTCACCACCGCCTCTACCAACACCAGCATCACCATCGCCATCATCATTCCCGTGGGCCTTCAGCATCTACTGCCGACAAAATGAGCCTCGCTTCGCCAGCCACCCCAGGACCACGAGCATCTGCCAGCCTTACGCTCTGCCAACTACCCTAGCCAGCTTCATTCTTCACGTTAAAATAAAAAGAAAAAAAAGGATAACACTGACAGAAAATACTCACCCGTCCATGTTACGCCGTCAGGCAGGAGATGCTATGATTTTTATTTGTCTGAATTTACTCTGCATCCATACGTTCGTCGATAATACGAAAAACTGGATGCTGCGTTGGTTCATCTTTTTTGTCTTATGACATTTCTCATCTGTTTTCAGGATTCCAGCGGGTAGTGGATCGAGCGACGTAAAGCGTATGCAAAGGTACGTTCTTGTTACCTTATGTTGGTGGTCAGGGGTTGTATGGTGTGATTGGGCAGAATTTTGGATTAAATTTGAATGAAAAATACGTACTGCGTGATATTGACAGGTAACT